GGCAAGCGCTCTACCACTGAGCCACCTTCCCAGCCCAAGTCCGTGAAAGTCTTATCTCCAATAAACCACCAGAAAACTGGAAGTGGCACTGTAGCTCAAGTGGTAGAGTGCTCGCCTTGAGCTGAAGAGCTCAGGGACAGCGCCCAAGCCCAGAGTTCAAGCCCTATGACCGACCAAAAAAAAAAAACCAATACAGATGTGTGTATGTACATTGCCTGGTCCCCTATAAATAGTTGTTATTTGACAATAAAGAAGATACAATGGTTGCCAAGACAACTGGCCTGGATACTTCAAAAAATTACTTCACTGGGGAAATAAGATAGGATGAAGATGGTTCCAGGATATAGAATACAGAACAACCAAGTGCAATGTTGTAAACCTTGACTGGATCCTAATGTGAGAAAAGGAAAGCAATAGAGGCTGCTCTTGGAACATCTGGGAGATTTTCAATACACAATGGGTATTGCATATAATCATTAATATATTTTTTTGGGGGGTCCAGTCGTGGGGCCTGAACTCTGGGCCAAGGCGCTGTCCCTTAGCTCTTCAGCTCAAGGCTAGCGCTCTACCACTTGAGCCACAGTGCCACTTCCGGCTTTTTTTTTCTTTTTGCTTATGTGGTACTGAGGAATCGAACCCAGGGCCTCATGCATGCAAGGCAATCGCTTTACCACTGAGCCACCTTCCCAGCCCCTTAATATTCTTTTTTTAAAAAACAATACTAGGAACTGGGCACTGGTGACTCATGCCTGTAATCCTAGCTACTTAGGAGGAGATCTCAGGATCGAGGTTCAAAGCCAGCTCAGGCAGGAAAGTCTCTTATCTCCAGTTAACCACCAGAAAACCACAAGTGACACTGTGGCTCATGTGGTAAAGTGCTAGCCTTAAGCTGAAAAGCTCAGGGGCAGAGTCTAGGCCCAGAGTTCAAGCCCTATAACTGACAACAGCAACAAAACAGTACTATGTTTTGAAGTCAAGGTCTCCTGCTTGCTTAGTAGTTGCTACTTCCCAGCCCTTTTTTGCTTTAGCTGTTTTTCAGCTAGAAATTTGTACTTTTTCATTTACTCAGGGACGACCTCAGACACCAATGCTTCCTAAGTCTTCCATGTAACTGGAATTGTAGGTGTGTACCACCATCATAGTCTCTCATTGATTTTCTTACCTGTGGTAGTAGTCATGTACTTCTGTAAGAGTCCTTATTTTTTGGAAATGAGTGCTGAAGTATCATGATTTCTAAAACTAAAATTCAAATAGTTTAGAAAAATAGAGCAAATATAGCAAAAATGTGCTATTTCTGCTCTTAGGTATTACTGAAATATTTCATAAATTTGTAAAAAAGTAGTTACATATTAACATACATTAACTCCACTGGGTGCTAGTGGCTCTTGACTGTAACCTTAGCTACTTGGAGGGTGAGATCTGAGGATTGTTATTTGAAGCTAGACCCAGCAGGAAAGTATGTGAGACCCGTATTTCTAAATAACTACCAAAAAACCAGAAGTAGAGAGATGACTCCAATGTTAGAACATCAGCCTTGAGTGAAAAAGGTAAGAGACTGTGTAGGCTCCGAGTTTAAGATTCAGTATTGGTAGCCGGGTGCTGGTGGCTCACGCCTGTAATCCTAGCTACTCAGGAGGCTGAGATCTGAGGATCGCGGTTCAAAGCCAGCCCGGGCAGGAGAGACCGTGAGACTCCTATCTCTAATAAACCACCAGAAAACCGGAAGTGGCGCTGTAGCTCAAGTGGTAGAGCGCTCGCCTTGAGCTGAAGAGCTGAGGGACAGCGCCCAGGCCCAGAGTTCAAGCCCCACGACCGACAAAAAAAAAAAAAAAAGATTCAGTATTGGTGCATGTGCACACACACACAAAAAAAACTGTACTATCAAAATATTTTCTATTTTATTAATTTATTTTATTGTTATAGAGGTGATATACAGAGGGGCTACAATTATATGAGTCAGGTAATGAGTACATTTCCTTCTCTACAGTATCTTCTGTTCCCTCATTCTCTCTCAATGCCTCCCTCCCTCCCTTCTTGCTCTTCCTCCCTCCCTCCCTTCCTCCCTCCCATCTCCACACATGAGTTGTGCAGTTCACTTTTATCAGTGTCCAGTGAGTTTCACTGCTTCATTTTTTCACTTTGTTTCCCTTGAGTTCTGTACCACCCCCCCGCCCCTGCAAATCTTCTGAAGATGTACTTTTTTGCCAGTCCTGGGACTTGAACTCAGAGCCTCGGCACTGCTGCTGAGCTTCTTTTGCTCAAGGCTAGCATTCTACCACTTGAGCCACAGCGCTGCTTCTGGCCTTTTCTGGTACTGAGGAATCAAACCCAGGGCTTCATGAATGCTAAGCAAGCATGTTACCACTAAGCCACATTCCCAGCTCCCAAAGATGTACTCTTGAATACACAATACATAAGGTAAAGACAGAACCATCAAAAATACAAACTGAAAAAAATATGAAAAAAGTATCAATACATTCTCCTTGTTGATGTACCTTACAAACATTAGGTGAAAAAATCCAATAACAAAATGTCACATCTTGAATGAATTAATTTATAGGAAATCATCAGTATAGACAAATCCATAGAGATAGGATGTGAATTCATGTCTTCTAGAGGTTCTGAGTAGATGGGAATAGGGAGCAGTTAATGGGTTTCTTTTCGGGGTAAATGGAAATGAGCAACCACATAGTTATTATGGTTGCACCTGTTTGGAAGTATACTGGACCCCACTGAAATGTAGCGCCTTAAAAGGATGAGTTTTCTAGACTCCATTCAGCTGCTATTGGTAGAGGTCTCAGATCCTAGTTGTTTTTGCAGAAGTTCCTCATCATGTGACCTCTCCATATGGCTTCTTATTTATCTCCATGCAAGGCAGATGGCTTCTACTAAATTGGGTGATGCCATTAATGACAAGGAACAGCCTACAGGCCTGCCTTTTCTCTCTTCATAACCTAATCCCAGAAAACAGAGTTACTGCTGCCATTGTCTATTTCCAAAGTCTGGGGCATGTCTGGGGTAAAAGGAGTTCAGTTCCACTTCTTTTTATTTTCTTTTTTCTTTTTGCCAGTCCTGGGGCTTGAACTCAAGGCCTGGGTACTGTTCCTGAACTTCTTTTGCTCAAGGCTCTACCACTTGAGCCACAGTGCCACTTCTGGTTTTTTCTGTGTATGTGGTACTATGGAATCGAACCCAGGGCTTCATGAATGTTAGGCAAGCACTCTACCACTAAGCCACATTCCCAGCCCTGGGTTCCACTTCTTGAAAGAAAGATTGAGAAAGTTAGTGGACAGACAATAGTCAGTGAACAGAATAAATAAGTAAATTATGCACAAAGTTAGAAAATGGTGAGTTCAGTGACACACGCATGCATGCACAGACACACACACACATGCACTTATGTGTGCGTGCATGCATGCACTGTTGTCCTGGGGCTTAAACTCAGGGCCTTGGCACTGTCCCTGAGCTTTTCACTCAAGGTTAGCACTCTTTACCACTTTGAGCCACAGCTCCACTTCTGGTTTTACTGGTGATTAATTGGAGATGAGTGTCCTGGATTTTCCTACCTGGGCTGTCTTCAAACTGTGATTCTCAGATCTCAGCCTCCTGAGTCACCAGCACCCAGCTATGAAAGATATTTTTTTCCTTGTCAGTCACGGGGCTTGAACTCTGGACCTAGGTGCTGTCCCTGAGCGCTTCAGGTCAAGGCGAGCCCTCTCCCATTTGAGCTATAGTGCCACTTTTGGTTTTCTGGTGGTTTATTGGAGATGAGTCTCATGGACATTCTTGCCTGGGCTGGCTTTGAGCCGTGATCATCCTGATCTCAGCTTCCTGAGTAGCTACGTTTACAGGTGTGAGCCACCAGTGCCTGGCTGAAAGATATTTTTAAAAAGATAGAGGCAAAAGGCAAAAGGAGTCAAGGGTATGTGTGCCAAAGGGCTATAAATTTTAATTCTAAAAATTTTAATAAATTTTTTGGGTCCGGTCATGGGGCCTGAACTCTGGGCCTGGGCGCTGTCCCTCAGCTCTTCAGCTCAAGGCGAGCGCTCTACCACTTGAACCACAGCGCCACTTCTGCCTTTTTTCTTTTTGCTTATGTGGTGCTGAGGAATCGAACCCAGGGCCTCAAGCATGCAAGGCAAGCGCTCTACTACTGAGCCACCTTCCCAGCCCAAATTTTAATTCTAAATAAGTTGTTCAACATAGGCCTCAGTAAGAAGGTTAGATTAGAGCCCAAGACTGGAAGTTTAGGAAGTTAGCCAAGCAGACCTCTGGAAGGATAAAGAACCCCACAAGGGGAAGAGCTAAAGCAGAGGCCCTGAGGCCAAGTCCCTGGGGCATGAGTAAGGGCTCTGGAGACATTATGAGTGGCACCTAGAAAGATTTAAGGATGGGATGGGAGGTCAGTGAACACAAGTTCAAGTGGGCTTGTGTAGGTAATCAGCTAGGACATTGGTTGCCGTTGGATAGGTTTTGGCATGCTTGGTTGGGTCTTCATTTTATCTACTTCCAACATTAAGCGAATTTATGTATGGGAAATGAATAGGAAAGCATTGATGAAGTATGTTATTTTTATTAAGTGTTATGGGGTTATTTTAGTTAGCTATAGAAACAAGTTATTATTTTTTGCTTTGTCAAAGGTGAGTAAAACTTTTTCCTAAGCAAGGATAAAAGATTGCTGGTCATATTTTAATTTAATTTTTTTTGCCAGTCCTGGGGCTTGAACTTAAGGCCTGGGCACTATCCCTGAGCTTCTTTTGCCCAAGGCTAGTGCTCTACCACTTGAGCCATAGCATGACTTCTGGCTTTTTCTGTTTATGTGGTACTGAGGAATTGAACCCATGGTTTCATGCATGCTAGGCAAGTGCTCTACCACTAAGCCACATTCCCAGCCTGGTGGTCATACTTTATACTAGCATGCTTTCAGCTGGGGAAGTATGAGGAAAAATTGATGAGGAAAATTCTTTCCATGGCTAAATTAACAAGATTTTTTTTTAAAGACAGGAATTTAAAGAAGAAACGGAAATGGATCCAAGCATGGGTGTGAGTTCTGTCACCATTTCTGTAGAGGGTATGACATGCAATTCCTGCGTTCGGACCATTGAGCAGCAGCTTGGGAAACTGAATGGTGTTCACCACATCAGAGTAAGTTTCCCTGGAAATCAGTGACGTTGACTAGAATCCCATTAGGAGGTTGCTTCTAACATTGGAACAGAACCAGGCATACTGACACATTGACAAGAATGACTGCTGCACTCCTAACCTTGATGCTAAAGAATTTTGGTTTGTCCTGTTAATTCCCCCCTTTTTTTGGTGCCAAACCTGGGGCTTGAACTCAGGGCCTGGGTACTGTCTCTGAGCTTTTGTGCTCAAGGCTAGCACTCTAACACTTGAGCCACAGCTCCACTTCCAGCTTTTTTTTGGTCTGTCATGGGGCTTGAACACTGGGGGGGCACAATCCCTCAGCTCTTCAACTCAAGGCTAGTGCTCTACTACTTGGGCCACAGCTCTACTTCCAGTTTTCTGGTGGTTTATTGGAGATAAGAGTTCCATGGACTTTCCTGCCTGGGCTGGCTTTGAACCATGATCCTCAGATCTCAGCCTCCTGAGTAGCTAGGATTACATGTGTGAGCCATCAGCTCTTGGCTGACTTCTAGCTTTTTGTGGTTAATTGGAGATAACAGTCCCACAGACTTTCTTGTCCAGGCCGGCTTCCAACTATGATCCTCAGATCTCAGCCTCCTGAATAGTTAGGATTATAGATGTGAGCCACAAGTGCCTGGTTTGTTAATTCCCTTTTATTTTTATTTTTTGGGTCCAGTCTTGGGGCCTGAACTCTGGGGACCTGGGCGCTGTCCCTCAGCTCTTCAGCTCAAGGCTAGTGCTCTACCACTTGAGCCAGAGCGCCACTTCTGGCTTTTTTCTTTTTGCTTATGTGGTACTGAGGAATCGAACCCAGGGCCTCATGCATGCAAGGCAAGCGCTCTACCACTGAGCCACCTTCCCAGCCCCTTCCCTTTTATTTTTTATTTTTATTTTATTATCTAGGCCTGGGTGCTATCCCTGAGCTACTTTTTTGCCCAAGGCAAGTGCTCTACCACTTGAGCTATAGCACCACTTCTGGGTTTTTTGAGTATTTTTTTTGGAGATGAGTCTCATGGAGAGCTTCAAACCGTGATCCTCAGATCTCAACCTCTTGAGTATCTAGGATTGCGAGTATGAGCCACCAGTGCCTGGTTGTTAATTCCCTTTTAAAGAGAAAAAGAAAGCTGGACATGTCTGAGCCAGGAGGATTACTTGAATTCAGGAGATTGAGACCAGCCCAGGAAACATAGCTAAACCTGGAATTAAAAAAAGAAGGGGACCAGGCGCTGGTGGCTCATGCCTGTAATTCTAGCTACTCAGAAGGCTGAGATCTGAGGATTGCGGTTCAAAGCCAGCCTGGACAGGAAAGGCTGTGAGACACTGATTTCCAATTAACCACCAGAAAACCGGAAGTGGTGCTGTAGCTCAAGTGGTTGAGCTCTCGCCTTGAGCTGAATGAGGTACAGCGCTCAGGCCCAGTGTTAAAACCTCATGACGGACAAAAAGAGAGAGAGAGAGATAGAGAGAGAGAGAGAAGGGGTATGCTGGGGGGGAGGGGTAAGAGGGGGGAAAGGAAGAGAAGGAGGGAAGGGAAGGGTACAAAAATATTTTTCATAAAAATGTTTTCCTGTTTAAAAATTATCTGAACATGTAATCTTGACATTATTGTGATTGACTTTGAATGTTGTGCCTTTTTTTTGCTCAGGGCCTCACACTCTTCTTTAACTTATTTAGTCAAGGCTCTACCACTTGAACCATACCTACACTTTTGTCATCTTATTAATTAATTAGAAATAAGAATCTCTGGGATTTTCTTTGTCCTGGCTGGCTTCGAACCACAAGTCTCAGATCTTAGCCTCCTGAGTAACTAGGATTACAGGAATGAGCCATTGGTGCTTGGCTACATACCACATTTTAAAGGAATGTTTTCCAAATGGGCACCAGATTTAGCATGTATTTAAAATTAGATACCCAATGGATTCTTGCTCCTTATATTTTAAGTGTATGATTCATTATATTGGAACTGGAACATTTTATGTGCCCTAAATTAGATTCTTATGGAAGTCCTACCTTATCTAAACTTTACTTTTTACCTATTTACTCTTTAGAGATTTCAAAAAGTGTTTGTGGATTTTTAGTGAAATATAGAATTTCTTCCTGTATATATACTTTATTGTGTCTATAATGTTCTCATCTATAATTCTTACTAAATCTAGTACACATTGGCTTCAGTTGGCCTTGTTTCTGTTGCCAAAAATTGACTACTTGGCACAATCTGATTTTTTGTTTTGTTTTGTTTTGGGTCCGGTTGTGGGGCCTGAACTCTGGGCCTGGGCGCTGTCCCTCAGCTCTTCAGCTCAAGGCTAGCGCTCTACCACTTGAGCCACAGCACCACTTCCGGCTTTTTTCTTTTTGCTTATGTGGTGCTGAGGAATCGAACCCAGGGCCTCAGGCATGCAAGGCAAGTGCTCTACCACTGAGCCACCTTCCCAGCCCCCACAATCTGATTTTTTAAAACTTTATTCTTTTTTTAAAAATTGTTGTTATAGCTGGGTGCCAGTGGCTCACGCCTTTAATCCTCAAGAGGCTGAGATCTGAGGATCACGGTTCAAAGCCGTCCCGGGCAGGAAAGTCCCTGAGACTCTTATCGCTAATAAACCACCAGAAAACTGGAAGCGGCACCGTGGCTCAAGTGGTAGAGCACTCACCTTGAGCTGAAGAGCTGAGGGACAATGCCCAGGCTCAGAGTTCAAGCCCCATGACCGACAAAACAAAATTGTTATTATAAAGATGATGTGCAGAAAGGTTACCATTTCATAAATCAGGTAAAGAGTAAATATCTTTTTGGACAGTATCAACCCTTCCCTTGCTCTCTCCCAGTTTTTCCCTCCCATCTATACCCACAAGTTGTATAGTAAATTTTCAATGTAGTGTCTAGTGAGTACGTAATCTGATTCTTGAGGTTTGACATTTTTCCTTAATTCTAAAGTCATGTGAAATGTGATATTCATATGTGGGCAGTTTTTTTCCAGATTGGCAGCTGTAGGTAATTAGTTATGGGGCTTGAACTCAGGGCCTGGGCATTGTCCCTCAGCTTTTTTGCTTAAGGCTAGTACTCTACCAATAAAGGAAAAAAAAAAAAACTTCTGTTTCCATTTCTTGGAGTTCATTTTGAAAAAGCTGTAGGTAATTTTTTTCCAAGTCTTGAGTTTTACATTCACCTTGGCCATTGAGGACAAAATTAACTTTGGATCCATTTGCCTATTTGTTTGGGGGAAGGCAGTGTTTCTCATTTGTTTACTGTACATTCTGACTAGCTAAGACGATGCTGCTCATTGTGATTAGGAAAGCTTTATTACCCGGTGAAATATACCTTCTCCCAGAGGCATTTGTGTATATACTTAGACATATTCATGTGCTTTAAAACTAAATCTTTTGTACTTATCATCTACCTTGGTCTAACTCTGGTTTAGCTCTTCCATTGCTTCCTTCCCCCATTTCCAAACTCAGCAAAGATATGGTTTTATTTAATTTTCTTTGCAGAGTGAGCTGAGTTGAACCCTTCAGTCCTAAAGCTTTAAATGAGTTGTGTGACAGTGTGACAACTGTACTTATCCTCAAATGAAACCAATTCACCTCCTCACTTGGTTTGAGAGACCAGCTGAATCTTACTAATTATAGAGTACTGTCTGTGCTAATTATAGTAAAGCTATTATAACTATCAGGAGATAGTTCACATAATTTTTCTTTCTTGTCCTTTAAAAAAATTTGGTGACATTAGAGTTTAAACTCAGGACCTTGTGCTTGCTAAGCAGGTACTCTCACCACTTGAGCTATGTCCCCAATGTGTGTGTGTGTGTGTGTGTGTGTGTGTGTGTGTGTAAACTCAGGACCTTGTGCTTGCTAAGCAGGTACTCTCACCACTTGAGCTATGTCCCCAATGTGTGTGTGTGTGTGTGTGTGTGTGTGTGTGTAAACTCAGGACCTTGTGCTTGCTAAGCAGGTACTCTCACCACTTGAGCTATGTCCCCAATGTGTGTGTGTGTGTGTGTGTGTGTGTGTGTGTGTGTGTGTGTGTGTGTGTGTGTGTGTGTGTGTGTGTGTGTGTGTTTAGTCTCCTGAGTAGGTAGGAGTACAGGTGTGAGGCACCAGTACTGGGCCTCAACTTCTTCTTGCTTTAGTTTTTTTTCATACAATCTTGCATTTTTTGTCCAGGACTGGTTCTGAATCACAATTCAGCATAGCTGGGATGACGGGTATTGACTAATATACCCAGCTTATTTGTTGAGATGAGGAGTCTTGTCAACTTTTTGCCAAGAATAATCTTTTTTTTTTTTTTTTGTCGGTTGTGGGGCTTGAACTCTGGGCCTGGTGAGCTACAGGGCCACTTCTGGTTTTCTAGTGGTTTATTGGAGATAAGAGTCTCACGGACTTTTCCTGCCCTGGCTGGCTTTGAACTGCAATCCTCAGATCTCAGCCTCCTAAGTAGCTAAGATTACAGGCATGAGCCACCTTCACCTGGTAAGCCTAGAATAATCTTGTAACTCAATATTCTTGAACTCCTGGTAGCAGAGACTACAGCTGTGTGACAATACACCCAGATTAGTTCACATAATTTTTCTTCAAATGATTTAGTTCCTTACTGTCCACTTACAACTAATATATTTTCTTTCTTTCTTTTTTTTTTTTTTTTTGTCGGTCATGGGGCTTGAACTCTGGGCCTGGGCACTGTCCCTATTCTCTTCAGCTCATGGTGAGCAAGCTACCGCTTGAGCCACAGCACCACTTCCGGTTTTCTGGTGGTTAGTTGGAGATCAGAGTTTCACGGACTTTCTACCCAGGCTGGCTTTGAACCGTGATCCTCAGATCTCAGCCTCTTGAGTAGCTAGGATTACAGGCGTGAGCCACCGGCGCCCGGCTAACTAATATATTTTCTGAACCTACCAGCTCCCTACCTAGCAAAGTGTTTTAGGAGAATGTTTGTGATAACATATACATTTATAACCGTAGGGGTATGTTCTACTTTTCTATTTGTACATACACTGCTATTTCCCAAAACAGCCTACTTGCTATTTCCACTGCAGCTCCCAGAATTCACTGCTACCTAGTAAGGTCTGATTAGTCAGACAAATACAATTGGACATTGATTCAATAGTAAAGGAAGAATGGCAGTGATATAATGTAAAACCACTTTGTGTTACCAATAGTGATTTAAACAAATGTCAGAGATACTGCATGGTCATTATAATTTGATTGCTTAACATGAAAAGAAACACACTTCTGCCTTTCCCAGCTCTGCCTTTCCTCCTCTTATCAAAAACTTTTATGAAATTGGTATGTTTGTGACTTTTCTTCTTTTTTTTTTTTTGGTGCTAGTCCTGAGGCTTGAACTCTGGTCCTGGGTGCTGCCCCTAAGCTTTTTTGCTCATGGTTAGTACTCTACCACTTGAGTCACAGCTCTACTTCTTTTTTGTGATTAACTGGAGATGAGAGTCTCATAGACTTTTTTGCCTGAGCTGGCCTTGAACTGTGATCCTCAGATCTCACCTTCTTGAGTAGCCAGAATTACAGGTGTGGACCACCTGTGCCCAGTGTTTGTTCTGTTTTGAGTAGGGATCTCACTATATAGTCTGCACTGGCGGTAAACTCACTATGTGACCTTGAACTCCAGTTCCTCCTGCTTTGGCCTTAGAAGTGCTGAGATTATAACCATGCTCCAATATGCCATGCTGTAATTTTTTTTATTAATAATTTTGTGATTTTTATTAATAATTTTGTATTTTTTTTCTTAAGGTCCCTCCAATTCAATTTCAAAAATGTAGATTTGTCTCATTCTAGGCACCATTTAGAAAATGGTCTTGTCCAAACATAATTTGTAGTCAGAATGTAGCTCAACATGAATATATTTATTAATATATAAATAGTGATCACTTACAAATATGAAAATTCTCTGGATCATAATTTCTGAATCATAATTAAGGTTAATGTACAAACAGTTTAGAAAGCAACCTTTGGCGATCCATGTTTTGACTAAGTCAAGGAGCTTTTGCTAGTGTTACAAATGATGTGATATAATTGTGCTGTTGAACTGAATGAGGTTGCTTTATCGAAAAGTGCAACAGTGGAGCAAATTAAAGCTTTAATGTAAAAAGCACAAAGAGAGAGGTGTCCAGAAGTCTCTACTTTTGGAGTAAATAGAATATGATTATTTACCTTTGCAGCTTTACCATTTAAAATGCACTTTGGAAATTATGTCTTAAATTGTGCTGTGAATGGGTGTGCTGTTCTTATTTGTCCTGCTAATATTAAGACTGTAGACATTAAAGGGATTAACCTGAAGTTTAATTTCATCATCTCAGCAGACTGTTCAAAGGAAAAAGAAAATGGGCAGATAATATGAATGGTTGGCTTCTTTGAAGCGGAAATTTAAAAACAAATTTAATTAGATCCAAGTACTAAATGACTCCAAAGGTTAATGCTGTGTTAACAAATTACTTTGTTCCCGAAACTTACAATGCTGGATCTTTTTTTTTTCTGTTTTTGTCTTTTGCACAGATAAACACTGCAGTTTGTTCTCTTTATAGATACTGTTATTATTTTTTTTTCTGGTCATGTGGCCTGAACTCTGGGCCTGGGCACTGTCTCTCAGCTCTTCAGCTCAAGGCTCTACCACTTGAGCCACAGCACCACTTCCGGCTTTTTCTGCTAATGTGGTGCTGAGGAATTGAACCCAGGGCCTCATGCATGCAAGGCAAGCACTCTACCACTGAGCCATCTTCCCAACCCAGATACTATTATTTTTAAAAAATTAAATTTCTCCTTCAGACCAATAAATACATTCATTGCTAATATTAAATAGTTTATTATTATTATTATTATTGAAAAATCCCCCTTCCAAAAGAAACTGGTTGTCCTGTATATGTAGATGTATGTGTGTATGTATGTATGTATGTATGTAGTCTTTCCATAAATACTGTGGATATAGAACTGTGTGTGTATGTATATATTTGATTGTCTTTTTTAAAGTAAAATTGGAAGCACGCCACATCTATTGCTCTGCAACTCACTTTTTTTTTTTTTGTCGGTCGTGGGACTTGAACTCTGGGCCTGGGCGTTGTCCCTCAGCTCTTCAGCTCAAGGCGAGCGTTCTACCACTTGAGCTACAGCGCCACTTTCGGTTTTCTGGTGGTTTATTGGAGATAGGAGTCTCACGGTCTCTCCTGCCCGGGCTGGCTTTGAACCGCTATCCTCAGATCTCAGCCTCCTGAGTAGCTAGGATTACAGGCGTGAGCCACCAGCGCCCGGCTGCAACTCACTTTTTTGTTGTTGTTGTTGGTCGTGGGGCTTGAACTCTGGGCTTGGGTGCTGTCCCTGCGCTCTGCAGCTCAAGGCAAGGGCTCTACCGCTTGAGCCACAGCGCCACTTCCGGTTTTCTAGTGGTTTATTGGAGATAAGAATCTCAAGGACTTTCCTGCCCGGGCTGGCTTTGAACTGTTATCCTGAGATCTCAGCCTCCTGAGTAGCTAGGATTATAAGTGTGAGCCACCAGCGCCTGGCTAGTACCCTACTTTTTTTTTTTTTGTCAATCATGGGGCCTGAACTCTGGGCCTGGGCACTGTCCCTGAGCTCTTTAGCTCAAGGCCAGTGCTCTACCACTGGAGCCACAGTGCCACTTTCAGCTTTTTCTGCTTATGTGGTACTGGGGAATTGAACCCAGGGCCTCATGCATGCAAGGCAAGCATTCTACCACTGAGCCACCTCCCCAGTCCTCATAACTTTTTTGTGTGTGACTGTCTTGGTACTTGAACTCAGGGCCTTGGCCCTATACCTGAGCTTTTTTGCTCAAGACTAGTGCTCTGCCACTTGAGCCAGAGCTCCACTTCTGGCTTTTTGGTGGTTAATTGGAGATTAGAGTGTCATTGACTTTCCTACCTGGGCTGCAATTGAACCAATGCCAGTTCTCAGATCTCAGCCTCCTGTAGCTAGGATTACAGGCATGAGCCTCTGGCACCTGGATAATGCTAGCTTTTAATTGAATTTAATTTTAGAAGGACATAAGTAACATTTTACTAATGATTAGTCCCTTCTCTCTACCCAGGTCCATTTTTCTATACTCTAGAAAAGCTTTCCCATGAATATCTTCCATGCTTGATCTGAGAAGGGAAAAAGGGAAGTTGTTCACAGAAAAGCTATGAAACTTGGCACCAGTGAAGATTTTTATGGACACTGTCCAAACATGGTTCTTATTCTGAAGCTGTGAGACACTGACACCTGGCTAAGGGTTGGTTCTTTTTTTGTCTGAGTCTGGAACTTGCACTTGGTATCTGACACTTGCTTTCACTCATTGGCTGGCACTCTACCATCTATGCCATGCCTCAGGTTTCCATCCCTGCCTTTTGCTGTTTTGGAAATGAACTCTCCTGGACTACTTTGCTCAGGCTAGCTTCAAACTGTGACCTCTGAATCTTAGTGTCCTAAGTAGCTAGGATTGCAGGTGTAAGGCATTGGTGCCTGGCTTATGTAACCTCTGAGTCGGTGGAATGTAAAGGGTTGGAGTAAATTTCGAATAGAGATGGTGGGAAGTAGTGTATACTCTGTTGTGAAATTCTAGGGTGTGTTTGGCATGCGCATGTTGCAAATACCTGACTGGTACTACAGTCACGTAGGCCTACATATTGTTTTATCTTCTAGGTAGACACATCTATCTATCTATCTATCTTTCTTTCTTTCTTTCTTTCTTTCTTTCTTTCTTTCTTTCTTTCTTTCTTTCTTTCTTTCTTTCTTTCTTTCTTTCTTTCTTTCTTTCTTTCTTCCTTCCTTCCTTCCTTCCTTCTTTCCTTCCTTCCTTCCTTCCTTCCTCTCTTTCTCTCTTTCTTTCTGAATAGTGAAGATGAAAACGCCCTAGAAAGACTCCATGATATTGAATCATTTATGTCATTCTTCATTTGGTATTCTTAATTCCTGTATCATATAATTTAATGAAACTAACTTCTGAAATTTTCTTCTGAAAGGTTTCATTAGAAGAAAAGAATGCAACTATTATTTATGACCCTAAAATACATACTCCAAAGACTCTACAAGAAGCCATCGATGACATGGGCTTTGATGCTATTCTCCAGAATTCTAACCCACTCCCAGTTTTAACTAATACTGTATTTCTGACTGTTACTGCTCCACTGGCTCCACCGTGGGACCATATCCAAAGTACATTGCTCAAGACCAAGGGTGTGACTGACATTAAAATTTCCCCTCAGCAAAGAACTGCAGTAGTGACAATAATCCCTTCTATAGTGAGTGCCAGTCACATAATAGAGTTGGTTCCTGACCTCAGTTTAGATATTGGAACTCAGGAGAAAAAGCCAGGAATCTGTGAAGACCCCAGCATGACTCAAGCAGGTGAAGTCATGCTGAAGATGAAGGTGGAGGGTATGACCTGCCACTCATGCACAAGCACCATTGAAGGAAAAATTGGGAAACTGCAAGGTGTTCAGCGAATTAAAGGTGATTTCTTCACTGCTTTTTTTAAATCGATTGTTTTGTAAGGCTTTGTTTTCTGTGTTTTTCTTTTTGTGTTAGTACTGAGGCTTGAAATCAGGGCCTGGGTACCTGTCCATTAGCTTTTTCACTTAAGGCTGGTGCCCTGCCATCTGACCTACAACTTCTGGTTTTGGTGGTTGACTGAAGATGAGTTTCTGCTGGGTCAGGCACCGGTGGCTCATGCCTGTAATCCTAGCTTACTCAGGAGGTTGAGATCTGAGGATTATGGTTCAAAGCCAGCCCGGGCAGGAAAGTCCAAGAGACTCTTATCTCTAACTAACCACCAGAAAACTGGAAGTGGTGCTGTGGCTCAAGTGGTAGAGCGCTAGCCTTGAGCTGAAGAGCTGAGAGACAGTACCCAGGCCCAGTTCAAACCCCACGACTGAAAGAAAAAGTGTTTCTGTCTGAGCTGGCTTCAAAACATAATCCTCAGATCCCAGCTAAGATTACAGGCATGAGCCACTGCTGCCTGGCTTCATTTTCTGTTTTTTCACTTTTTGCTTTCTTCCCAGGTATAGGTTTCAACTTTGTGGGACTTGTTGCCTTATTGGAGTTTGAGGCATAGCATATTCCCAGTATTAATGGCAATAAAGTTAATGATTATAATGAGAGTCTTGGATTTTAGTTTAGCAGAAAAAGCTAAAAGCTGGGGTGGTGACTTAGGGAGTTCAGACTTTTTTTTGTTGGTCGTGGAGCTTAAACTCTGGGCCTGAGTGCTGTCCCTGAGCTTTTCAGCTCAAGGATAGTGCTCTACCACCTGAGCTACAGTGCCAGTTCTGGTTTTCTGGTGGTTTATTGGAGATAAGAGTTTCACGGGCTTTCTTGCCCAGGCTGGCTTTGAACCATGATCCTCAGATCTCAGCCTCCTGAGTAGCTAGAATTACAGGCATGAGCCATCAGCGCCCGGCAGGGAGTTCAGACTTTTTACCACATCATGCCTAGGATACTTACTCAATTTGTTTTTACTTAGGCAACTGGAAACTTAGAGACTATAGAACAGTGGTCACACCTTTTACCTATTTCTAGCATGTTTACTAGTTTCACGTCTTATGAAAAAAATCCAAAATGATTTTAAGAAAAGCTGATGTGAAGACAGACAATGATTCTGAAGTGGCCTGGGATGATATGAAATGAAATAATTATGTTTCTTTCTATTAACTAGTCTCCCTGGACAATCAAGAAGCTACTATTGTTTATCAGCCTCATTTGATCACTGTAGAGGAAATAAAGAAACAGATTGAAGCAGCAGGCTTCCCAGCATTTGTCAAAAAACAGCCCAAGTACCTGAAATTGGGAGCTATTGATGTCGAGCGCCTAAAGAACACACCAGTGAAATCTCCAGAAGGATCTCAGCAAAGGAGTCCCTCACACACCAGTGATTCTACAGCTATTTTCATCATAGATGGCATGCATTGTAAATCATGTGTGTCAAATATCGAAAGTGCTTTCTCTACACTCCAATATGTAAGCAGCATTGTCGTTTCTTTAGAGAATAGGTCTGCCACTGTAAAATACAATGCAAGTTCAGTAACTCCAGAAACTCTGAGAAAAGCAATAGAGGCTGTCTCACCAGGACAATATAGAGTTAGCATTGCAAGTGAAGTTGAGAGTACTTCCAACTCTCCCTCTGCCACTTCTCCTCAAAAGACACCTTTGAATACAGTTAGCCAGCCTCTGACTCAGGAAACCCTGATAAACATTGTTGGCATGACTTGTAATTCCTGTGTGCAGTCTATTGAGGGGGTCATATCAAAAAAGCCAGGTGTGAAATCCATCCGCGTCTCCCTAGCAAACAGCAATGGGACTGTGGAGTATGATCCTCTACTCACTTCTCCAGAGACCTTGAGAGAAGCAATAGAAGACATGGGATTTGATGCCACCTTATCAGGTAATTACCCTTTTTCTCTTTGATTTACCAAATGCTCTTTGATTTCCATCCAGTAAGATGGAAAACAATGTGGTACTTTGGCTTTTAATAACGAGAAAGGATTCATTCCACTTTTTACAAGTAAGTCCCAAGAAGGTAATCCATGTATGGTTCATGTAAGGATGTTTGCAGAATTTGTTTTAGTTTTTTAATAGTGATTATTTTTGTGTGGTATGATAAAGTCTGTTCTTTTGGTTTCTACTGTGTTTTCCTGTGTATTTTAAGATTGAAAAAAAAAAAACTTTTGGTGCCAGTAATGAGGTTTATTCAAATTTAGGGCCTGGTGCTCTCCCTTAGCTTTTTGGCTGAGAGCTGGTGCTCTACCACTTTGAGCCAAAGCCCCATTTCTGGCTTTTTGTTTTTGTTTTGGGTCCGGTCGTGGGGCCTGAACTCTGCTCCTGGGTGCTGTCCCTCAGCTCTTCAGCTGAAGGCTAGCACTCTACCACTTGAGCCACAGCACCACTTCCAACTTTTTTTTTCTGCTTATGAACCCAGGGCCTTATGATGCAAGGCAAGCACTCTACCACTGAGCCACTTTCCCAGTCCCCCCATTTCTGGCTTTTTCCTGGTTAATTGGAAAGAAGACTCTTCTCTGCCCAAGCTGGCTTTGAACCATAGTACTCAGATTGCAGCCTCCTAAGTAATGAGTTATAGGCATGGTAAGCCACTGGCACCTGGCTAAGGTTGTTTTTATAACAAGCATGTGTGTATGTGTTTATATAATGGGGAAGAAAATGTTATTTTAAAAAGGAAGGTAAAAATAAAATAATACAATTTTAATTGTGATTTTAAATTTTGGCATTCAAATTCAGCTGATTCAGATTTGTCTGAAAGTGTTCATATCTCTTATAGCTCTTACTTTTGAACTGGATCAAAAATGTTTATTTACTGAAATTTGCCTATGTAAGCTAGTTCTTCCTCCCTCCCTCCCTCCCTCCCTCCCTCCCTCCCTCCCTCCTTCCTTCCTTCCTTCCTTCCTTCCCTCCCTCCTTCTCTCCCTTCCTTCCTTCCTTCCTCTTTTTTTTTTTTGTCAGTCTTGGGGCTTGAACTCTGGGCTTGGGTGCTGTCCCTCAGCTCTTCAGCTCAAGACCAGTGCTCTACTGCTTGAGCCAAAGCGCCACTTCCAGTTTTCTAGCGGTTTATTGGAGATAAGAGTCTCACGGACTTTCCTGCCCGGGCTGGCTTTGAACAGTGATCCTCAGATCTCAGCCTCCTAAGTAGCTAATAGGCGTGAGCCACTGGTGCCCGGCTCTCCCTCTCTCTTTTTTTTTGGGGGGGGGGGGGTCTGGTTGTGGGGCCTGAACTCTGGGCCTGGGCGCTGTCCCTCAGCTCTTCAGCTCAAGGCTAGAGCTCTACCACTTGAGCCACAGCGCTACTTCCAGCTTTTTTCTTTTTGCTTATGTGGTGCTGAGGAATCGAACCCAGGGCCTCAGGCATGCAAGGCAAATGCTCTACCACTGAGCCACCTTCCCAGCCCCTCTCCCTCTCTTTTGTACCAGTACTAGAGCTTGAACTCGGCCTAAGCACAATCCTCTAGCTTTTTTGCCACAGTTCTACTACTGACTTTTTGCTGGTTAAATGTAGATAAGAGTCTCACAGATTTTTCTGACTTTGAATGACAATTCTCAGATTTCAGCCTCCTGAGTAACTAGGATCAGGCAGGCATGAACCACCAGCTCCCAGCTGAACTAGTTGTTTTGAGCTAGAATTGAATCTGGCCTTCAACTAAGCAGAAGAATTGTCTTTCTGGGCATAGTCATGCAAATCTGTAATTCTGGGAAGCAGAGACAGGAGTATCATAGGTTCAAGGCCAGCCTGGGCTACATAGTGTGTAACCTTTGCTATTCTAATTAGAATGCCATTATCAAATACTATTGTTTTTCTTTTGTCGGTCATGGGCCTGAACTCTGGGCCTGGGTGCTGTCCCTCAGCTCTTCAGCTCAAGGCTAGCGCTCTACCACTTGAGCCACAGTGCCACTTCCAGCTTTTTTCTGCTTATGTGGTGCTGAGGAATTGAACCCAGGGCCTCATGCATGCCAAGCAAGCACTCTACCACTGAGCCACCTTCCCAACCCAGTATTGTTCTTTTTTAAACTCACAAAGCTGAAGAAAAATTTTATTAATGACATGTCTAATTATAGTGGATGAATGTCCATGAGAAACAACCCAGAGACATTAACATTTTTGTTGTTGCGATTGGTCATAGGGCTTGAAAACAAGGCTTGGATACTGTCCCTGAGCTCTTTTGCTCAAAGCTAGAACTCTGCCTTGAGCCACAATGCCTCTTCCATTTTTTAAGTGGTTGATATTTCACAGGGTCTTTTCTGTCCAGGTTGGCTTAAAAACGCAATCCTCAAATCTCAGCCCTCTGAATAGCTAGGATTACAGGCATGAACTACCAGAGCCAGACTTGTTTTTTTGATTTTGAGTTGTTTCTACTCTCTGGCTTTTATAAAGAATGCTGCAAGCCGGGAGCTGGTGGCTCACGCCTGTAATCCTAGCTACTCAGGAGGCTGAGATCTGAGGATCACGGTTCAAAGCCAGCCCGGGCAGGAGAGACCGTGAGACTCCTATCTCCAATAAACCACCAGAAAACCGGAAGTGGCGCTGTAGCTCAAGTGGTAGAGCCCTCGCCTTGAGCTGAAGAGCTGAGGGACAGCGCCCAGGCCCAGAGTTCAAGCCCCACGGCCGACCAAAAAAAAAAAAAAAAAATGCTGCATTCATAGTATACATGTTTTTACATGAATATATGTTTTAAAAATTGCTAGTCATATGGTAGCTTTCCAGCCCCTGCCTTAGCTATTTTTATATTAGGGTCTTTCAATTTTCTCCAGTCTCACTTGGACTTTGATCCTCCTTTTACATTTTCTGCATAGTTGAGATAACAGATAAATCACCACATCCTGCTTTTTATGGAAATGGTATCTCATGGATTTTTATGCCTGAATTGGCCTTGATCCATGATCCTCCTGATCTTCACCTCCTGAATAGCTGGGATTACATGCATGAGCCACTGCACCTGTTTTAACTTTTTGAGGAAATGGCAGACTGGCTTTCCAGAATAACTGTGTAGACTTTTTATTTAATTATATTAATACTTCTTTTTTTTGTCAGTTGTGGGGCTTGAACTCTGGGCCTGGGCTCTGTCCCTGAGCTCTTCAGCTCAAGGGAGTGCTCTACCACTTAAACCACAGTGCCACTTCGGTTTTCTGGTAAAATTGGATATAAGAGTCTCACGGACTTTGCTGCCCAGGCTGGCTTTGAACCACGATCCTAGATCTCAGCCTTCTGAGTAGTTAGGATTATAGGTGTGAGCCACCAGCACCCGGATTTTATATTTATATTTCTTTTGAGACAGAATTTCAATATCTAGTTCCAGGATGATTTTAAATTCATTGTATAGTTCAAGGTGGTTTTGAACTGATAATCCTCTGTGTAAACCTCTTGAGTGAATTTTCTATAGTGTAGACAGTCTCAAAGGCCAAGATTCTTTTTTTGTTTGTTGTAGTTCTTTCTTTCTTTTATTTTCTTTTTTATTTGTCAGAGACTGAGACTCAAAGTAGGTATCTGAAGCTTGCTTTCAAGGTGGCTGGTGCTCCAGGATCCAGGCTACGCATCCAAGCCCAAAGACAGAGATTCTTATCCTCTGAAAAGAAATATGTAGGGGGCTGGGAATGTGGCTCAGTGGTAGAGTGCTTGCCTTGCATGCATGAGGCCCTGAGTTCAACTCCTCAGCACCACATAACCAGAAAAAGCCAGAAGTGGTGCTGTGGCTCAAGTGTTAGAGCGCTAGCCTTGAGCTGAAGAGCTGAGGGACAGTGCCCAGGCCCAGAGTTCAGGCCCCATGACTGACAAAAAAAAAAAGATATGTAGTTCTTTATTAGAAAAGTTAGAGCCAGGCGCTGGAGACTCACGCCTGTAATCTTAGCTACTTAGGAGGCTAAGATCTGAGGATTGGGGTTCAAAGCCAGCCTGTGCACAAAAATCTGGGAGACTCTTATCTCCAGCTAACCACTAGAAAACCAGAAGTGAAGCTGTGGCTCAAAATGGTAGAGTGATAGTCTTGAGTACAAAAGCTCAGGGACAGTGCCCAGGCTCAGAGTTCAAGCCCCATGACCAGCAAAAACAAACACTTTTCACAGATGAATTATACCAGTATCCCTTGGCTGGTCATTAGAAATACAGACCTATTGAATCCAAATATATATTTTAATTGTAATGAGTTTTCCAGGTGGTTCATGTGTACATTAAAGATTGAGAACACTGGTCTAAATAATTAGTCACATTAACTTCTGTGGAGAAAATCTCTGAATTAAAGCTAGAAGTTCCTGAATTTAGAGAAATGGTTTAGCAGTGCTTGGAAGTGTAGTTTGTGGCTCATGACAAAGTGGCAGGTGGAAAATAATGCCACAAGTGAAATTCATCTTTTCCTTCTCAGCAGACCTCAGTGAGCCATTGGTAGTGATAGCTCAGCCCTCATCGGAAATGTCACTTTTGCCTTCAGCGAATGAATCAGATAAAATGATGACACCAGTACACAACAAGGAAGACACAAAGGCTTCTTCTAAGTGTTATATACAGGTCACTGGCATGACTTGTGCCTCTTGTGTAGCAAACATTGAACGGAATTTAAGGCGAGAAGAAGGTAAGCAACTCTTAAAGTTTGTTGTTTTGTGTATTTATTTGCATACTTGCCCCTTTGGTCTCTTGTTTTTGAATTTATATTTTTATTGTTATTAGAAAGGTTGATATACAGTTACATAAATCAGGTAAAGAGTACATTTCTTTTATTCAGTGTGTGTGTGTGTGTGTGTGTGTGTGTGTGTGTGTGTGTGTGTGTGTGTGTGTGTGTGTGTGTGTGTGTGTGTGTGTGTGTGTGTGTGTGTGTGTGTGTGTGTTAGTCCTACAGCTTGAACACAGGCCTGGGTGCTGTCCCTGAGTTTTTGTGGTTAAGGCTAGCACTCTGCCCCCTGAGCCATATCTCAGGTTAATTGGAGATAAGAGTCTCATGACCTTTCCTGTCCAGGCTGGCTTTGATTGGCGATCCTCAGATCTCAGCCTCTTGTGTATCTAGAATTGCAGGCCTGAGCAACTGGCTGAAACATAGTGTATTATTGACTTACACTTAAATGTTTTGAAACTTTATACATCTGCACTCATACAGACTTTCTAGGATAGCTCCATAGTCATGTTAATCATATAGTGATAACGTAATTATGTTTAATGAGATCAAAGTCTTATGCTTGGTACTGAGGCTGTGCAAAGTGTCTTAGTGATAAACATTTTTCACAAAGACTTAATACAGAAGTGATGATTAATGTGATAGCTACTGGGGAAACAATTCCAAGGGTATTTAATACATCAGTTTATATATTAAGGCCAGATCAGATCATTACTTTGTGAAAACGAATGGTGTGAAGAATCTTTCATTTAATATTATCTAGTCTGTGTTCTATCCTTTGTGTGTGTGTGTGTGTGTGTGTGTGTGTGTGTGTGTGTGTGTGTACGTGTGTACACGAGCTTGTGTGCATATGTGCGTGCGTTAGGATTTGAACCCAGGCTTCTCACAGATATACACTATATTCTCTCATTTCTTTTTTCTTTTTTTTTGGGGGGGGGTCTGTTCATGGGGCCTGAACTCTGGGCCTGAGCTCTGTCCCTCAGCTCTTCAGCTCAAGGCTAGCACTCTACCACTTGAGCCACAGCGCCACTTCTGGCTTTTTTCTTTTCTTTTCTTTTTTTTTTTTGTCGGTCGTGGGGCTTGAACTCTGGGCCTGGGCATTGTCCCTCAGCTCTTCAGCTCAAGGCGAGCGCTCTACCACTTGAGCTACAGCGCCACTTCCGGTTTTCTGGTGGTTTATTGGAGATAGGAGTCTCACGGTCTCTCCTGCCCGGGCTGGCTTTGAACCACGATCCTCAGATCTCAGCCTCCTGAGTAGCTAGGATTACAGGTGTGAGCCACCAGCGCCCGGCTCTGGCTTTTTTCTTTTTGCTTATGTGGTGCTGAGGAATTGAACCCAGGGCCTCAGGCATGCAAGGCAAGCACTCTACCACTGAGCCACCTTCCCAGCCCCTCTCTCATTTCTTTTTTTTTTTTTTTTTGGGGGGGGGGGTCCAGACGTGGGGCCTGAACTCTGGGCCTGGACGCTGTCCCTCAGCTCTTCAGCTCAAGGCTAGCACTCTACCACTTGAGCCACAGCGCCACTTCTGGCTTTTTTCTTTTTTGCTTATGTGGTGCTGAGGAATCGAACCCAGGTCCTCAGGCATGCAAGGCAAGCGCTCTACCACTGAGCCACCTTCCCAGCCCCCCCCCTCTCATTTCTATGTTGTTCATTTCAACCTCTCTTATTTCTGATTAGAATACAGTCAAGGCTCAAGCTTATATTATCCTTTGATTAATTAGAAAAGCAAAGAGGGGAAGTTGCTAAGAAAATGAAAGCAAAATGAAGTTTGCAAGGCTATTGTTTGAGAACAAATCTAGACAATTCAGAAAATTCCCTTTTACGAGGCAAGCAACACCTATGGTCGTTTATACTCCCCCTCCCCCTCCCCCTCCCCCCTCCCCCTCCCCCTCCCCCTCCCCCTCCCCCTCCCCCTCCCCCTCCCCCTCCCCCTCCCCCTCCTCCTCCTCCTCCTCGCCTGAACTCTGGGCCTGGGCACTGTCCCTTAGCTCTTCAGCTCAAGGCTAATGCTCTACCACTTGAGCTCCAGCGCCATTTCTGGCTTTTTTTTTGCTTATGTGGTGCTGAGGAATCGAACCCAGGGCCTCATGCATGCGAGGCAAGTGCTCTACCACTGAGCCACCTTCCCAGCCCAATATAGGTACTTCTAAAACCAAAATTTATACAATGTAACTTCTTTGAATAACTATCAGACAATTTATCAAAATGAATATTAGGAAACTGAAACATGTTTGGTTAGGAGAGGGAAATGAGGAAGGACACACTCATGGAGGGGAGAAGGATGAGCCAATACAGTCATTATAGCCAATATACACTATATGAAAATTGAACTACAGAACTTGAGGGTAGGGATGGGATGGAGAAGGAAAGGGGAGAACAATGGAAGGGTGACATTAATCAAGATGCATAGTACTCATAACTGACTTCTAGAATTGAAACCCCTTTGTACAACTGTCAGCAGTTCTATCTAGGTGAGGGTTTGTGAAGTTTCCCCCTAGAAGTAGGGACCCTCCACTTAGGGTTTTAGTACCAGGTTCTTGACTTGGATTGCAGAATAGGAATTTCAGGGCTGGGCACCAGTAATTCATGGCTATAATCCTAGCTGCTCAGGAGGCTGAGATCTGAGGTGCTCAGGCAGGGAAGTTCATGAGATTCTAATCTCCAATAACTACCAAAAAGGCCTGAGATGGGGCTTTGGCTCAAGTTGTAGAACTCAGGACAAGAAGCTCAGGGACAATGCTCAGGCCCTGACTTGAAGCCCAAGGACTGGCAAAAAAAGAATTTCAGGACAAGTCACAGGGTAAGAAAACTTGGCAGAGCTTTATTGAGTAAGCAAGCAGAAAGACAGAGGTACTCCTAAGAGATATAGAATGTGGGTTCTCAAAGGGAGACAAAGGGAACTCTTGACATCAGGGATATATATGATAAGGGCTTCACATAAAGTTATTCTAGGAGAAGTGTTTTTCTTTGTTCTCACACCTAGCACAAATTTAATCACTTGGTGTTACACTTTTATCACTTGGGCTCAGGGTCTCTAAGACCAACTGCTCATTAAACTTGGATCATTGATGTTTGAGCATCCCTTCAAAGAAAGAATGCATTCTGCTGTACAGTTTTTCAAGTCAGATGTCCATTCTTGAGATAAATACTTTGTGCCTGGAGGAATTGTTTTCCCAAGTATTTGCTTTTCTAGGATACGTATCTTTCTTTATGATGTCCTTGTTCAGTTTTCAGAGCACACTATATTGGGCCAATAGGCAAGGTCAGATGGAGAAATGGAGAAAGGTGCTCTTGTTTTTTGTCCTTCCTTCCTTCCTTCCTTTCTTCCTTCCTTCCTTTCTTTTTCTTTCTCTCTTTCTTTCTTTTTCTTTCTCTTTCTTTCTTTCTCTCTCTTTTTCTTTCTTTCTTTCTTTCTTTCTCTCTTTCTTTCTCTCTCTCTCTCTCTCTCTTTCTCTCTCTTTCTTTCTTTCTCTTTCTTTCTCTCTCTTTCTTTCTTTCTCTTTCTTTCTTTCTCTCTTTCTTTCTTTCTCTCTCTCTTTCTTTGTTTGTTTGTTTCTTTCTTTCTCCTTGTAGTAATACCACACCTTATGAAGGAGTGGGAGAGTTAAAGCAAAGAATATATTCCTTTTGTGTTTCTAATAGAACTACTCATTAATTACAATGTTTGTTTTTGAATTCCCTGGCTGGTATTTATCATGTGTCATTTCCCCTACTCTATTCTGCCTCACAACTTCTTTTTTTGTTTTGTTTTGTTTTTTGGGTCTGGTTGGGGCCTGAACTCTGGGCCTAGCACTGTCCCTCAGCTCTTCAGCTCAAGGCTAGTGTTCTACCACTTGAACCACAGCGCCTCTTTCGGCTTTTTTCTTTTTGCTTATGTGGTGCTGAGGAATCGAACCCAGGGTCTCATGCATGCTAGGCAAGCATTCTTACCACTAAGCCATATTCCCAGCCCACAAGATATGTTCTTAACCAGTTGTAATTAATAATTCATTTAGATACTAATTTAAGCAAAAAAAAACCTATTAAAGTAAGAAACAGTTATGAGAAAATTGTAAAAATATGACTACTTCTTGCATATTTGATGGCATAGAAAAATTACTTTATTGTAGGTGTGAAAATGATATCAATGTTAGGGTTTTATCCTTTTGGTGTTTGGATAGAACCTAGGAGTTTACACATACTAAGCAAGTCTACTATGCCACTGAAATATATCCCCATACCTATTTGTGGCTGTTTTTAAGAGTACATGTTTTAGAGATACATACCTAAACATTTACACATGAAATAGTAAGATCATAGGATTTGTTTCAACACAATTTGAGTAGAAGGAAGAGAGAAGAATTAGTAGGAATGTAGATAATGAGAGCTTGTCACAGTGACATCTTGCAGTTCCAGTGACTTGGGAGACTGAGGCAGTAGGATCACTTAAACTTAGAAGTTCAAGGGCAGCCTGAGCAACAGCAAGGTCCTCTCCTCTCTTAAACAAGTAAACAAAGAAGATTTACTCAGTGAATTAATAATGTTAAAGATGAGTGATGGATAGATCAAGCTTATTATGTTTTCTCTCATATATATGTAATTGAAATTTTCCATAATAAGGTTAAGTGAATGAGGCCACCTTTCAAATAGTTTTATATCATTTGGGCTTAAGACTCAAATAAAAATTAATATATTTCTACAGATTCACCTCAGTCCTTTCACAGTTAAATGAGAAATACTAAAAAGTAATTATACCATTACTCTTTGATAAAGACTGTTATCTGTATTGTTTTTCTTATCAATGCTCCCAGGAATACATTCTGTGCTTGTGGCCCTGATGGCTGGTAAGGCAGAAGTGAGGTATAATCCTACTGTTATACAACCCTCAATGATAGCAGAGTTAATCCGAGAGCTTGGATTTGGAGCCACTGTGATTGAAAATGCCGATGAAGGAGATGGTATTTTGGAACTTGTTGTAAGTAAGAAGTTTTGTGTGATTAATGAGATGACCAGAAAATACTTGGAGGAGGTTTATAAAAGAGCTGTAAAGATATTTAAAGGCTTGGAAAAGAAGATATATAATGAAAATAAAGAAAACTAAAAAATAGAAATATATAACTTAATAGTAACCCTCCAACATGGAATGGATATATATGTATATATTTTTAAGAACTAAAAATAGAGTTGGGGCGCTGGGAAGGGGGCTCAATGGTAAAGTGCTTGCCTCGCATGCATGAGGCTCTGGGTTCGATTCCTCAGCACCACATAAACAGAAAAGGCTGTAAGTGGCGCTGTGGCTCAAGTGGTAAAATGCTAGCCTTGAACTGAAGAGCTGAGGGACAGTGCCCAGGCCCAGAGTTCAAGCCCCATGACTGACCAAAAAAAAATAGAGTTGGGAATCAGTGAAAACATGGAGATTAGCTGTGCGTGCGTGCGTGCGTGCGTGCGTGCATGTGTGTGTGTGTGTGTGTGTGTGTGTATGTACTCTGGGCTTAGTGTTTCTGAGAGTTTTATTTTTTTGCTCAAGGTTAGTAGTGATCCACCACTTGAGCCACAGCTCCAATTCCAATAAATTATTTTTATAGATTGCATATAACTACTTTTTTAAATAACTGCTTCAAGAATAAAATAGATCAATACTGATGGACAAGTAAATCTCTATGATATACTATTTGAACAAAAACAAATTGTAGTGTGATACTATAACCAATTTAAGTTATTTCAATTAATTAAAGATGCAATTAAGAATGTGTATAAACATATATATGTATTGTGTGCACATATACTTAAAGGACCAACTAGTTGATACACACATAGTAATTAGCAATAATTGTCTTAGGAAGGTCACATAAAAAGAACAGAGAGAACTGGGCACTGGTGGCTCATGCCTGTAATCCTAGCAACTCAGGAGGATAAGATCTGAGGATTATTGTTCAAAGATAGCCTAGACAGGAAAGTCCTCGAGTCTCTTTTTTAATTTTAATTTTTGTGCTTGAACTTAGGGCCTAGGCACTGTGCCTGAGTTTTTTTGTTCAATATTTGTGTTCTACCACTTGAGCTATAGCTCCAGTTTTGGCTTTTTGGTGCTTAATTGGTGATAAAAGCATCACAGACTTTTTTGGTGGGCTGGCTTCAAACCATGATCCTCAGGTCTCAGCCTACTGTGTAGCTAGAATTATAGGCATGGGCTACTGCACCACCCAGCCACACAGGCACTTTTGCACGTGGGGTATTTCAGGGAACTATTAGATGACAGTTAATTGTCAAATAATGACAGTACTATGGAAATGAGACTTTGAAAGCACTTTTAAGTTTTCCTGTCCTCTCCACTGGCTGCTCTGGAGCTAATTTTTTATTTTTAGTTTTGTTACTGTGGGGAGAGATGTCCATAAGACTGGATGGGAGGAGAACAGACAAATAAGGCCACATAGCCAGAATTTTTTTTTGCCAGTCCTGGGGCTTGAACTCAGGGGCTAGCACACTACCACTTGAACCACAGCACCATTTCTGGTTTTTTTTCTGTTTATGTGGTACTGAGGAATCGAACCTAGGACTTCTGCATGTTTGGCAAGTACTCTACCACTAAGCCACATTCCCAGCTCCAGAATTTTTTTAAAAGAATAATTCTGATTTTTTTTTTTTTTTGCCAGTTTTCTTCTTTCTTTTATGGAGGAAAGAATTTTAGGGGTCTATACTAGCCATATTTGCTGTTATCCCTTCAGTAGATATTCTTTTTTTTTACATTTGTTAATTATTATATCTTTAAGTAGTTGCACAAAAATCTTCCCATTCTACAAAACAGTATGAGTACAAGGTACAAGGTGTCTGGCAACATTATCACCCATCCCTTCTCTCACACTTTTTATTTAAATTGAGATTAGGTGATTACACAAATTTCACATATTTCAAAGTATTGTGGAATAGTGATTCTTAAAGTCACAAACACATTTTAATCTTCACAAGGCAATTTGTCATTATCATGGAGTAGGTATTCTTGAATAAATTTTTAATTTGTTGAATATCCTTCAGGCAACTTCCAGGAGTCTAACTCATGTTAATTGAAAAAAAAGTACATTTTGGAGTAACAAAGCCTTTGTTTTTAATCAGGTAAGAGGAATGACTTGTGCTTCCTGTGTACATAAAATAGAATCTACTCTTACAAAGCACCGAGGGATCTTCTACTGCTCTGTGGCCCTGGCAACTAACAAAGCACATGTTAAATATGATCCAGAAATTATTGGTCCTAGAGACATTATCCACACAATTGAAGTAAGTCCTAAGACTCTTTATTTCTTTATTCTTTTTTTAAAAAACAAAACAGAATACGTTTGGTTTTTTTCTTTTTAAAACTTTTTAGTATTACTATCAAGGTGATGTACAGTAGGGTTACAATTACATAAGTCAGGTAATGAGAACATTTCTTTTTGGAAAATGTGATCTTTCTTTATTCTTACAAATTCATTCTAGCTCCCTTGAATTCCATCTGGTTTGCATCAGAAAGTGACAATGAAAATATATCTTTCCTTTCAATATTCCAGCTAAGATCTCTCAGAATTTAGAATAAATATGTCCATTTTTAAAAACTTCGTTTTGGAAGTGGCGCTATGGCTCAAGTGGTAGAGCGCTGGCCTTGAGTTGAAGAGCTGAGTGACAGTGCCCAAGCCCAGAGTTCAAGCCCCATGCCCAACAATAACAACAACAACAAAAAGAATGTTATTAAAAACTTCGTTTTTAAGGATTAAGGTTCAAAGCTAGCCTAGGCAAGAAAGTCTGTAAGACTCTTACCTCCAATTAAACAGCCCAAAGCTGGATATGGAGCTGTGGATTAAGTAGTAGAGCTCATATAAGTGTAATTTTTAAATTTTAAACAAAATTTAAGCAAAGGCATATTTACACTATTAATAACAAGAAGACAGAACTATAGATCACTTTAAAAGAATTTACAAAATGGACATAAAGTACATTTTTTTTTTTTTTGGTCGTAGGGCTTGAACTCTGGGCTTGGGTGCTGTCCCTGTGCTCTTCAGCTCAAGGCAAGCACTCTATCGCTTGAGCCTCAGCACCACTTCCGGTTTTCTAGTGGTTTACTGGAGATAAGAGTCTCACAGACTTTTCTGCCGGGGCTGGCTTTGAACCGTTATCCTCAGATCTCAGCCTCCTGAGTAGCTAGGATTACAGGCGTGAGCCACCGGCGCCCGGCTATACAGTACAATTATTTTATGAGTAAGATTTATATTAGTCACTATGAAAATGAAACATGATGCTATCTATCTATGTATTATTATTATTTTTTTTGGATCTGGTCGTGGGGGCTGAACTCTGGGCCTGGGCGCTATCCCTCAGCTCTTCAGCTCAAAGCTAGCACTTTACCACTTGAGCCACAGCGCCACTTCCGGCTTTTTTCTGCTTATGTGGTGCTGAGGAATCGAACCTAGGGCCTCATGCATGCGAGGCAAGCACTCTACTACTGAGCCAACTTCCCAGCCCTATCTATGTATTGTTTGTTAGGTCAAAGCAAAAGACTCTGAGTTTTTTTTTCTGGTCATGGGGCTGAAACTCTGGGCATGGGCACTGTCCCTGAGTCACTCTGTGCTCAAGGCTAGAGCTCTACCACTCTACCACTTGAACCACAGCACCACTACCAGCTTTTGAGTGGTTAATTGGAGATTAGAGTCTCATAGGGACTTTCATGCCCAGGATGGCTTCGAACTGCGATCCTCAGATCTCAGCCTCCTAAGTAGCTAGGATTACAAGCGTGAGCCACTGGTGCCTGGCTGAGACCCTGACTTTTAATTAAAGTAAAATTTTGAAAGACCAAACCTTTTCTTTGTGCTAAATTGACCCTAGGTTCTTCAGTAAGTTGTAAGCAGTAGTGTGTGTGTGTGTGTGTGTGTGTGTGTGTGTGTGTGTGTGTGTGTGTGTGTGTGTGTGTGTGTGTGTGTGTGTGCTTTAAAAGTGTGTGCTTTAAAAGTTACAGTGTAAGCCCGCAACCATGGCTCTCGCCTGTAATCCTTGCTACTTAGGAGATTGAGCTCTGAGGATTGCAGTTCAAAGCCAGCCCTGGCAAGAAAGTCCCTGAGACTCTTAACTCCAATTAACCACCAGAAAACCAGAAGTGGTGCTGTGACTCAAGTGGTAGAGCACTAGCCTTGAATTGAAGAGCTGAGGGACAGTGCCCAGGCCCAGAGTTCAAGCCCCATGACTGACAACAAAAAAGTTCCAATGTACTATCAGCTTCTAATGATCTGAGGCCTATTAATAGTTCATATAAGATCTTATTAGTGTAAGTAACAATACAATCAACATCTTCATTAGCTCACATTTGCTCTTTTCAGTGTGTTACATTACTCACAATGATACAGTAATAGCTTTTGTGGCCTGTTAATAAGGACCTATACTGAGGACAACTGCACTTGAGTTAAATTTTTAGTTTGAGAACAATAGCGTATATGTTAGCCAGAATCAAGAACATACAAATTGCTTTGACAGGAAATTAAAAACAAAGATCATTAAGAGCAGAAGGCTCTTAAAGTGTTCTTGATTTTTGCATTCCCCAGAGTCACATACACTCAGTAATTGAACTGACTTGTTTTAAATGATAATATCATGGCTTAGAATTTCTCAACGTATTTATACATTAAAATAATTTCTTCTTGTGAATTTCCTTAGAGCTTAGGTTTTGAAGCTTCTTTGGTCAAGAAGGATCGGTCAGCAAGTCACCTAGACCATAAACGAGAAATTAGACAGTAAGTACTTTTGGATTATCAGTAAACAACAGATTTTGATTGTTCCTTCCAAATTTAACATCATGCTAATATTTCACTTTTTACACTGTCATCCTTGTACTTGGTGGAATGGTTACAACCTATATTTCATTATCGAATTTAGACTCTTTAACCTTTAGCTACTTACTGATATGATCTCCCCTCCCCCATATTAGATGGAGACGATCATTCCTTGTAAGCCTGTTTTTCTGTATTCCTGTGATGGGGTTGATGATATATATGATGGCTATGGACCACCACCTTGCCACTCTGCATCATAATCAGAACATAAGCAATGAAGAAATGATCAACATCCATTCTTCAATGTTCCTGGAACGCCAAATCCTGCCAGGACTGTCCATTATGAATTTGCTGTCGTTTTTATTGTGCATACCAGTACAGGTAAGTGAAATATTAATAACATTTGTTTGTTGATGATTAACAATAACCAAAATGTGACAGGCACCATTAGCTAATGCCTGTAATCCTAGCTACTCAGGAGGCCAAAGTCTAAGAATCATAGTTATAAGCCAGCTGGGGCAAGAAAAGTCTGTGAGATTCTTTTTTTTGCCAGTCCTGAGCCTGGGCACTGTCCCTGAGCTTCTTTTTGCTCAAGGTTAGCACTCTACACTTTAGCCAAAGAGCCACTTCCAGCATTTTCTGTTTATGTGGTACTGAGGGCTTCATGCATGCAAGGCAAGGACTCTACCACTAAACCATATTCCCAGCCCAAGTCTGTGAGATTCTTGCTCCAATTAACCACGAAAAAACCAGAAGTGGATCTGTGGCTCAACTGGTAGAGCACACACATACACACACCCTCAGGCACTGTTAATTCCAGCTGCAAAACATATTAGCTAGAAGCTCCATCGTTTTATACTGAATTTTTACAAAAATAATCTTGGGGGGAAGATGGGAGGGCAGGGATGGGAAGGGGAAACAAAGGAGGAGGCAACAATGCTTGATAAGAAATGTACTCATTACCTTGCTCATGTAATTGTAACCCTTCTGTATGGTATTTTCACAATAAAAAAACTTATTAATAATAAAAAAATTAAAAAATCTTAAATTGCATAGTTAAAGTAGCTAATACATTCCATTTAACCCCTAAGAATTTTGTTTAATGACAAATCAGAGAAGAGTGCCAGCCTTTTAGATTTGGTATTCATATCTACTACTGTGTATAACTTGAATAGTTCTGTCTGACATTACATTGCTTTTTTCCTTTCTTCTAAGTACAATGTGAAGGGTTTCATTGTGATATGTCCATATATGCATATATTATGTTTTGGTCATATTCACCCCCTTGATTACTCTTTCTCTCTCATTCTCCTACTTTCTATAGTTTTCAACCTCTGTTTTGAGATAAATTTTTACTGTGGAAAGGAACACTTCCATTTAATAATTTGGTTCCTTTATGTGATCCTTGTAAAAAGCAGTACTGAGAGTTGGGGATGTAGCTCAGTGTAATGTACTTTCCTCATACTTAGAACACTAGCTTCCATTCCCAGTGCCACAAAAAAAGCAAATAAAGCCCAAGTCAAAACTAACCAACTAGACCAAAACAAGACAGAGTGGTGATTTTTAAAATATCTTTGTATATTTTCTTATACTCTGAAAAATAAGCTTTCTAGTTAGGTCTACCAACAAAACAGCTTGTGATATACCACTTAGAAAAGGGTAAAGGGGCCAGGTGCTGGTGACTCATGCCTGTAATCCTAGCTATTGTGGTCTGAGGATCACAGTTCGAAGCCAGCCCAGGCAAGAAAGTCCGCATGAGACTCTTATCTCTAATCAACCACTCAAAATCATGAAGTGATACTGTGGCTCAAGTGGTAGAGCGCTAGGCTTGAACTGAAGAGCTGAGGGACAGCACCTAAGCCCAGAATACAAGTCCCATGACCGACAAAAAAAAGAAAGGAAGAAAGAAAGAAAGAAAGAAGGAAAGAAAGGAAGGAAAGAAAAGAAAGAAGGAAAGAAGGAAAAGGAAAAACAGTGAACAGTGAAGGGGGTAAGTCTTAAAAAAAGATTCTTGACAAAATGTAAATTCTTTTCCATGAACCATCTGAATTTTTCTTTCAGAGAACTTGCTATATAGCTGAGACTGTCCCCAAATTCCTTATGTAGCCATGCTATCCCTGAGCTCATAATCATCCCGCCTTATCCCCTTGATTTCTGGGATTATCACTGTGTGCTACCATGCTCAGTGTCTGAACTCTTTTTCTTTCTTTTTTTTTTGCCAATCCTGGGACTTGAATTCAGGGCCTGAGCACTGTCCCTGAGCTTCTTTTGCTCAAGGCTAGCATGCTACCACTTGAAGCCACAGCACCACTTCTGGCTTTTTCTGTTTATGTGGTACTGAGGAATTGAACCCAGGGCTTCCTGCATGCTAGGCAAGCACTCTACCACTAAGCCACATTCCCAGCCCGGCTTTTTGCTTTTTTTAAAAATATCATGGAAAATCTATTGGTTTACAGAAGATAGCCTTTGAAGACATGCAGTGCAGAGCAACCTGAAGCCTTCACTCTGCACACATAGCCACTGAAGTATTAATTTCCTCCGGGTTACATTCTCTCCTTAGTATTTCTAGATTACTTAAAAGGCAAAGGGAATACATTTTAATTCTTTAGGTTACTGAGGTATGTATGTGAATTTCAGCATTTAGGAAATTTCATTGCTTTTCATTCCTCTATTGCAGTTTTGTGGAGGTTTGTACTTCTACATTCAGGCTTACAAAGCACTGAAGCATAAGACAGCGAACATGGACGTGCTGATTGTGCTGGCCACCACCATTGCATTTGCCTATTCGCTGATTATTCTCCTAGTGGCCATGTATGAGAGAGCCAAAGTGAACCCTATTACCTTCTTTGACACCCCTCCTATGCTTTTTGTATTTATTGCACTGGGCCGGTGGCTGGAACACATAGCAAAGGTAACATATAAGATGGGATAATACTTGTTAGAAAAAATGGATAAACGACTGTAGTACTGTCTAGATTAGTGATTTATGTAGTTAATCATTTATTCAAAAGAAGTTCTTTTCTTTCGGCAGTATTTGAAATTGAATATTCCTTTAGTAGACTTCCCAATGTTTAGAATTACTGTTGTGAGTAGTACAATATGCCATGGTTATTTTAGGAGAGAGATACATGAGATGTACTTACTTGTGTCATATCATTAATTGAAAATTTGACATCATAGTTTAAAATAATGATGGAAAAAAATCTACTCATACTTTCATACTGTAATTTAATCCTGTTCAACACGTTTATATTTAGCTGTTGCAATCATAACATACATGCATTCCATATGGTTTTTACCCTTTTCCCTGACTAGATAATTATTTCATATTCCTACATAATAGTCTTTCAAGTCTGTGGTGCTCTCACCTACTAAATCATCCTGGCTTTGTTCTCAATTAAAATGTTCCTAATTTTTCCTTTTTGATAAATCTACATTGATTATATCCCTATCTAATAGTCATTTCCATTGTCCTTGTATCTTAGGAGGAATTAAACGTTTTCTATGGCTCATGCTGCAGGTTGCAACAGTTTTTGCCAGCAAACTGTTGTCCCTGTGTCAGTGTTGCATTTTATTTAAATTATTTCTAGTTAGGCATTAAATGGTATTGGAGAGCTGTTTTTACATTTCTTCCATTAATAGTATGGGGAAACATTTTTTTCATGTGTCTTGTGTTTATTTTTCCTTTTGGAAAATTTGCCTATTCATGACCTATGCCCATGTATCTATTGGGTTCCTGATGTTTTCCTTATTACTTTCCTATTTGTTTTATAAATGATACCTAATCATTTTTATATTTTATATGCTTATTTTTAGTGTGAAAAATTTTCTGATTTTGAGCAACTTAATTTCTTAAGGTGTTTATTAGACATGAAGATTCTAGTTTTATTTTAGTTAAGACCTGAACATCTTCTTTCATAGCATTGTCAATGTGTTTGTTTTAATTTATAGGGCAAAACATCAGAGGCTCTTGCAAAGCTAATTTCACTACAAGCTACAGAAGCAACTATTGTAACTCTTAACTCGGAAAATATCCTCCTGAGGTATTTATTTTCACCCTCCTTTTCTTTTTGTAACTTCTTATGAAAGTTTTCAAATATACCTACCTACAAGTAGAGAGAAGATTATTATGAACTCACAACAGTATCACACATTTAAGTTATCCACATTTTGTCATATTTGATTAATTTACTCATTTTGCCTTTCTGTTGTTGCAGTACAAATTAAATTCCAGTCATATATTTTACCTAATATTTCTTTTAATGTTTTTGGTTACTTGTGGGGCTTGAACTCAGGACCTGGGCACTGTCCCTGAGCTCTTTTGCTCCACTAGCAGTCTACCACTTTGAGTCACAGCCCCACTTCTGGTTTTCTGGTGGTTAATTGAAGATAAGAGTCTTATAGAACTTCCTGCTTGGGCTGGCTTCAAACCACAATCCTCAGATCCCAGCCTCCTGAAGAGCTAGGATTACAGGCATGAGCCACCAGCACCTGTCTTAACCGGTATTTCTATAGTAGCTCTCTAGGAAAGGACAGGTATGGTGGCACAAGACTAGAACCCAGCACTGGGTAGGCAGAGGGAGGAGGATCATAGGTTCAAGGCCAGCCTGGGCCAATAACCTTTTGGTTCTGTGAGAGAATGTCTCTCTATATAATACAGACTGGCCTCAAACTCCTGCCCCTCCTGCCTCAATCTACTGAGTGCTGGGGTTGCCAAAGTGTACCATCACACCTGTACTCAGGATATATTATTATATAACACAATACCATATTGTACTTAACAAAATGATAATTCTTTAACATCATTTAATACTCAGTTCATGTTTACTTTTCTCCTTTTGTCTCTAGAATGTATTAAATCTGTTTGGAATAGAATTCAAACAAGATTTGGTATATCATTGCATTAAAAAAATCTACTTTAATTTTTAGTGCTAAGCATTGAACCTGGAGCTTTAAGTATGTTAGGCAAGTGCTCTGTGAGTGCTATAGAGCTACATTTCCAATCCTAATTTAATTTTTCTATTGACTCATAATTATACATATATATGCAGCACAGTGCAATATTTTTGTTTATGTATATATTGTTATATGTCTTAGATTTCTTTTTTTGATGTGCTGATGCTGGTATTTGAACTCACACTCTTGCTTGGATTTTTCTTTCAAGGCTGGTGCTCTACTACTTGAGCCATACCTCTAGTTCTAGTTCTTTGCTGGTTACTTGGAGATAAGAGTCACATGGACTTTCCTGCTCAGGATAGCTCTGAATCCTGATCCTCAGATTTTAGTGTCCTGAATAGCTAGGATTACAGGCATAGAGCCATCATTACCCGATTTTTTAGGTTTCTTTTAATCTGGAATAGTTTCTTTGTTCCTTCTTTCCTTCCTTTCTTCTTCTACCCATCCCTCTATATAACTGACTTATAGAAAAAGATCCATTGTTTATTCTGGAGAATACTCTGTCTAAATGTTTCTTTTTTGGATATAGCATGGTGTGGTAGAGCATTTTTATATGATGCATGTGGCACTGGTTCAATGCCTACTACCACAAGAAAACAAGCACCAGAAAACTTGTCTGAAATTGTGTCTTTGCTTCCTTGTGATGCCATTTAACTAGTTTTCTTACTTGTGTTGCTCGTAAACTGGAAGTTAGACCTAAGGACTTTATATTTCATTGTTGTATTTTTCACTATTTATACGCATAAAGTTATTTATGCAAACTTGCACAATAAGTACATAGTTTAACAAAACCCATGGCATTACTTTGAAAGTTTTTACTTAGTGAGTCTTCAATGAACATTTAGTTTCTGCTTTATGCTGAAGTGCATTGTTCAACACCAGGGACCAAGACCAGTGTAGTGGTCCCAATGTATATCTATAGTTACTATGAGATTACATAGACTTGAACTCAAAGCTTGTATGGGGAGACCAGAGTGGGAAGCTGTTGCCATGACACTATATTACTCCTATTCAGTGAAGAACAGGTGGATGTGGAGCTTGTACAACGTGGAGATATCATTAAGGTTGTTCCAGGAGGCAAATTTCCAGTGGATGGTCGTGTTATTGAAGGACATTCTATGGTTGACGAGTCTCTCATCACAGGTATGTTTTTTTGGAGACTCATAATCTGCTAAGGAAAATAGACATAAAAGGTTCTACATTTTGTAGAAATTGTGTGTGTGTGTGTGTGTGTGTGTGTGTGTGTGTATGTGTGTGTGTTTGCTGGTCCTGGGGCTTGAACTCAGGACTTGGGCACTGTCCCTGAGCTTTTGTGTTCAAGGCTAATGCTCTATCACTTGAGCCATAGCTCCACTTCCAGTGATTAATTGGAGATGAGTCCCACAGACTTTCCTGCCCAGACTAGCTTTGAACCACCTCAGATCTTAGCCTCCTGAGTAGTTGGGATTACAGGCATGAGTTCCTGGCACTGGCAAATATGAGTTCGTTAGCTGTACTAGACCAATTTCCTTCATGTTTTAGTTATAGTATTGAAAATTCATTTCACTAAAGATTGTTGATTACTAGAATGCAGAACAAAATCAGTTATCTCAGTCTCTTGTAGAAGAACTACAGATAGACTGGCAGTTTTCCTGGGCCAGATGTGTCTTCTGTCTTCCTGCTCTAGAGCTTATTCTGGCCCTGGCTGGACTAGACCTACAGGTTTTCCTCTCAGTATCTGCCTAAGAGAGTAGACGGAGTATTTGTACAGTTCTTGCATACCTAAAAGTGTGGAGCAGAATCAAAATGTCGCCTTGCTACCTTCTTTCTCTGGATAGTTCCAGAAGAGGCTCAGTTGATGGAGCCATGGAAACAATTTCAGACTTTGTATTTCTCAGAAGCATTGCTCCTGCCAGTTTGGGTAGGAAATTTCTTAGTTCTGGGGGAATTTCTTGTTCATTCAAATACAATTTAGTTTCTCTGACCCTGGCTACTGAGTTACTGTCGCACCACTTGCCTGTCCTCATGTCAGTCCTTATCACAAAGAAAAACTTCCTCCTACATTTCTTTTTTTGTTTGTTTGTTTTTTGGGTCAGATCATGGGGCCTAAACTCTGGGCCTGGGCACTGTCCCTCAGCTCTTCAGCTCAAGGCTTGCACTCTACCACTTGAGCCACAGCACCACTTCCGGCTTTTTTCTTTTTGTTTATGTGGTGCTGAGGAATCGAACCCAGGGCCTCATGCATGCAAGGCAAGCGCTCTACCACTGAGCCACCTTCCCAGCCCTTTCCTCCTACATTTCTAAATGCTCTTGGAGAACAGGTTGAGAAGCAGGGATGTAGGACTAGGGTGAAACTCCAGAAGTATCTGTCAACAAGAGCTAACATGTTAGGTTTTTCCAGTTTAAAGTTAGATCCCTGGGTTTGGCCTTGAAGTGAGATAAACAAAAGGGAGAACAGCTTTCATTGGAGCATTTGTCTTTACTTTATGGAGGAAGACTCCTTTAACTGTTGGTTGACAATGAATGAATAAAATGAGTTTCAAGATAGTGATCATTGATGCTCCCTAAATCTGTCTTGACTCCTTCTTCCTCCAGGAGAGGCAATGCCTGTGGCTAAAAAACCTGGCAGCACGGTGATCGCTGGTTCCATTAACCAGAATGGGTCCATACTTATCCGTGCCACGCATGTTGGAGCAGACACAACCCTTTCTCAAATTGTCAGACTTGTGGAGGAGGCACAGACATCAAAGGTAACCCAGCCTCCCTAAAAAAAAAAGCACAAAGTATTTTCTTGAAAGCCTTCCTTCTCAGTGTAAATCTTGATCTAGCTTTTATATTTTCCTTTGACTCAATTTAGTCACATTAATATGGAGCTTACTTATTTCTGTCTGTATACTCTGTACAGAAAAGGTGACTTGAGTTACTTATTATTTGTTATGATGGTTTTAATTGTAGGCTCCTATCCAGCAGTTTGCAGACAAACTCAGTGGCTACTTTGTTCCTTTTATCGTCTTTGTTTCCATTGCTACCCTTGTGGTATGGATTATAATTGGATTTCAGAATTTCGAAATTGTGGAAACCTACTTTCCTGTAAGTGACTTGTAACAACTGTTTGCTATAGGCAAAAGTATGAATCTTTCACATAAGTAATTAAGTGGAAATAATTTTCTAAATTACGAATATAGGCTGGGGATTGTAGCTGAGTATTAGAACAAAGCATGTTCTGTGCCTGGGTGTGAAGCCATGGATTTAATTTGCAATGCACATACAGGAATGAAAGGAAGGGGGGAGAGAAGGAGGGAGGAGAGGGGAAGACTCATTCCCCCTTGTCCTTAGTGAATGTGTTCTAAGACCCTAATGAATGTTTACAACCACAGATGGTACCTAGTAGTATATAAACACTGCATATATATATATAGAGAGAGAGAGTATTATTTTTTTTTTTTTTTTGTGGGTCATGGGGCTTGAACTCTGGGCCTGGGCACTGTCCCTCAGCTCTTCAGTTCAAGGTGAGCACTCTACCACTTGAGTCACAGTGCCACTTTTGGTTTTCTGGTGGTTTGTTGGAGATAAGAGTTTCATGGCTTTTCCTCCCCGGGCTGACTTTGAACCACAATCCTCAGATCTCAGCCTCCTCAGTAGCTAGGATTACAGCCGTGAGCCACCAGCGCCTGGCTTATATTTTATTTTATTTATTTATTTATTTTTTGTTGGTCGTGGGGCTTAGGTGCTGGCCTTACATTCTTCAGCTCAAGGCGAGCATTCTACTGCTTGAACCACAGCACCACTTCTGGTTTTCTAGTGGTTTACTGGAGATAAGAGACTCATGGACTTTCCTGCTGGGACTGACTTTGAACCGCGATTCTTAGATCTCAGCCTTCTGAGTAGCTAGGATTACAGGCGTGAGCCACTGGCGCCCAGCTGGCTTATATTTTATATTATATAATATTATATATACTATGCTTTTCTATAAATACACAAATTTGATACCTTTTCTATTGTTAGTTTTGTGATAAGGCCTTGATCTCTACCCAAGCTGAATTCAAGGTTTTCCTGCTTCCTCTTCCCAGGAAGATTACAAGCATGTGCTACCATGCCTGGTACCTTTTCCATTTTAATTAAGCACTTGTCATACACTGTGATAACGTTTGCAGTGGGAGGCATGAAAGCAAAAGCAGTGCACATTCCTTTTTTCCTCTACAGTTTTATTGACAAATGATTCATTCTTTTAGATCTTAGCTATCTCAATACACAGTGATTATTTTTCTTTCCTAATTGTTACAAAACTTTCACCTCATCTTTTAAAGGAAGCACCTACTGGAATTTTGTTGTCATATCCAAATTGCCACCATCACTTCTCTTTCATGTGGGGAACATAATTTAGTAACATCACCATTGCTTGAACACAGGCATGGGAACACAGTTATTGGGATACTGAAGAGACAACTACTGGGTTACTAATGGGTGGGTGGTGTATACAACATGGATATGCTGGACAAAGGGATGATTCCTATTTCAGCCAAGGAGGACAGAGGAAGATTATATTATGCTACTCAGAGTGGTGTATAATTTACAATTTATAATTTTACTTCTAGAATTTTCCACTTTGTATTTTGGATCGCAGATGACTTGGTAATGGAAATTACAGCTAAGCAGTAACTATGTCTTTAAAGGGCTGGGATAAGAGAGTGGTAATAATGACACTTGCAGCTGTGCCACCTGGGGCTCACACCTGCCTGCAATCCTAGCTACTCAGGAAGCCAGTCTGAGGATCATAGTTACAGGCCAGTTGGGGCAGGAAAAATTGATGAGATTCTGATCTCCAGTGAACCACCAAATAGCCAGTGGAGCTGTGGATCAAGTGGTAGAGCACCAGCATATTCACATACACAAATTATAGTAACACTTGCATTTTTATAAGGATAAATATTTCCTTTTGGAATTTTTTCTCACCATGATTTTCCAGAAGGAACTATTGAACTGTTTACATTTTACACTTAGTCTCATTTCTGGCATCATTTTATTTTCACAAAAGATTTTGTTTTCACAAAAGATACTCCATGTACTGTTTTACTTTTATTCCAGTTCTGGGGCCTGAACTCAGAGTCTGGGCACTGTCCCTGAGCTTTTTTGCTCAAAAGTAGCATTCTACCACTTTGAGACACAGTGCTACTTCCACTTTTCTGGTGGTTAATTGAAGATAAGAGTTTCATGGGGACTTTACTGTTCCAGCTGGCTTTGAACCGCAGTCCTCAGATCTCATATTTTACATTTTTAAGTGAAAAAAAAAACAAGTGTAATCCCAACTGTGAATTGTTTTCATGTTATGGTTAATAGTATAATAAGTCACTGAAATGATTCATGTTGGTGAAGTACACAATGAACAATGGGATAGTTTGGAAGTTCCCTTCAGGAATTTTTCTCACGAGGTCAATGAGTCTTAGAAGATTTTTTTCCTGATACTGTCAATCATAATATTTCCATACCTGAGCAAACACTCAATGCCACTAGGAGCCTCAGTTCCCATTATTATGTCCAAAATACAACAAAAGCCCTTGGCATGCCTGATGAATTTTTTTATCATCTTTATGAATAATGTGAAAGGCAGGTTAATTCTGTTAGTATACTGAGAGTCAGAATTTTATTTTTCCCTAAAATAAAAATTCCTTAGATTCAAAGAAGAAGACAAAAAAATCAAATGGGGAGTTTTATGGTGCTTCTATTCACTCTATAGTTTGTAACTCCAGAATTACCCAAATGAAATTTTGACTTTAGGCTTCTCACTTTTTTTTTCTTTTTTTTCTTTTTTTTGGTCGGTTGTGGGGCTTGAACTCTGGGCCTGGGCGCTGTCCCTCAGCTCTTCAGCTCAAGGCGAGCGCTCTGCCGCTTGAGCCACAGTGCCACTTCCGGTTTTCTAGTAGTTTATTGGAGATGAGTCTCACGGGCTCTCCTGCCCGGGCTGGCTTTGAACCGGGATCCTCAGATCTCAGCCTCCTGAGGATTACAGGCGTGAGCCACTGGCACCCCGCTAGGCTTCTCACTTTTTTTGAAAGAAAAAAATGTATTATTTCTTATTAGTAACTAAAATGTATGTTGGCAGCTAGGTTTAGGATATGTGACTTTTAATAATGAGGTTTTATTTAAATAGGATAAAGTTTTGTTTCTTTTGTTTTACACAGCACAGAATCAATAACCAAAATTTATGCCTTTCTTCTAAAGGGCTACAATAGAAGTATCTCCCGAACAGAAACAATAATACGCTTTGCTTTCCAAGCCGCCATCACAGTTCTGTGTATTGCATGTCCCTGTTCCCTGGGACTGGCCACTCCAACTGCTGTGATGGTGGGGACAGGAGTAGGTGCTCAAAATGGCATACTTATCAAAGGTGGAGAGCCATTGGAGATGGCCCATAAGGTAAGAGTCCCCAGGACCCAAAACTGTGCCATCCAAATTTGCTAACATACTCCTGTTGAGAAACACAGAGGCCAGCATTGTTTCCTTGTGATTGACTCATGAACAGCTTTTTTTCTGGGACTATCCTAAAGGTTGAGATAAGAAAGTTATTATTCTAGTTTGCCAGATTGGCATTTTTTACTTAAGATCTTTAAAAATACTCGAGACCTTGGGGCTGGGAAGGTGGCTCAGTGGTAGAGCGCTTGCCTTGCATGCCTGAGGCCCTGGGTTCGATTCCTCAGCACCACATAAGCAAAAAAAATAAAAAAGCTGAAAGTGGCACTGTGGCTCAAGTGGTAGAGTGCTAGCCTTGAGCTGAAGAGCTGAGGGACAGCGCCCAGGCCCAGAGTTCAGGCCCCATGACCGGACCCCCCCCCAAAAAAAAAAAAAATTACTCGAGACCAATTTGTTTTGAGCACACTTGATGTGGAAAAAAACCTGTCTTTCAAGCCTTGCTTATACTAGACCAGATATTTATTTTTATTTTTTGATGGTGATGAGGATTAAACTCAAGGCCTTGTGCTTGCTAGGGAGACACTACCACTTGAACCATGCCTTGCAGCCCCTTTTTACACTGGTTATTTTTGAGGTAGGGTCTCTATGCCTGGGCCCATCTGGGCTGCAATCTTCCTACTTGTGTTTCTCACATAATTGAGATAACAAGCGTGTACCACCATGCCCAGCCATTGGTTGAAATGGAGTCTTGTGAACGTTCATTTGTGCAAATTGACCTCAAACCAGTATTACTGGCTCGAATCACTGCTTCTGGCAGGAAGACAATAGGTACTTGCCAAAGTGTCACAGGCTTCTAATGTATTATGTGTAGGTCATTCCTTGCTTATGTTCCTCATCAAGAGCTGACCCAGCAATGGCACTGCGGTTTGTTTACCTTTCCTGTCCTCAGCTGGAAATTTACAGTATGAAATAAGAAATGTAATTTTAGCCCTGATATTTTTCAAATTATGATTTTTGTAACATTTTCAATCCAGGCTCCTCAATTTCAGCTGAAACTGCATTCATATGAGGATTGAAAATATATACAGATACATGTAGTAAACATACAACATTAGAACAAAATTGGGACCTCATCTAGCCAATGAGTACAAGCCAATAATTTTGAAAAAAACATTCTTTATTGTTATTATAAAGGTGATGTACAGAGGGTTACCATTACATAAGTCAGGTAAAGTGCACATTTCTTTTTGGACAATGTCCTCCCTTCCTTCATTCTCTCCCAGTTTTATCCTGCCATCCCCAACCACAAGTTGCACATTTCATTTTCAACATAGTGTCCAGTGAATACCACTGCTGTATTTGTTCACCCTTTGTCCCTCCATTTCTGTGTTTCCCCTTATCCTCCCAAGGACAGATAAATGTATAAACAAGACAGAAAGAAAGGAAAACAAAAACATCAACAAAGAAAAAAGCCTCTTGTTTCCATTTCCTGGTGTTCATTTTGATAAATACTATTTTATATGATCAGATGCACATAGGCATTACACCTTTGTGTTAGCTAGTAATTTTTATAGAAATGTCAGACTTAAGAAAAATGTACCCCCCCCTGGGGCTGGGAAGGTGGCTCAGTGGTAGAGCACTTGCTTTGCATGCTCGAGGCCCTGGGTTCAATTCCTCAGCACCACATAAGAAAAAAATCCGGAAGTGGCACTGTGGCTCAAGTGGTAGAGTGTTCGCCTTGAGCTGAAGAGCTGAGGGACAGCGCCCAGGCCCAGAGTTCAGGCCCCACGACTGGACCCAAAAAAAAAAAAAAAAGAAAGAAAGAAAAAGAAAAATGTACCCCATACTGTAGCTGTTGGACACCTTTGCTAAAAATAAGGATAGTTCCTTCTGCTACCAGCACAATGTTTATCAAAGTCAGGAAATGAATAATGACATAATAAGATTACCTAACGTCCATGTTCCAGTTTCCTCTTTTGTCTCCATAATCTTTGTTTTTGTTTTTTTGTTTTTGGTCAGTCATGGGGCTTCAACTCTGGGCCTGGGCACTGTCCCTGATCTCTTCAGCTCAAGGCTGGTGCTCTACCACTTGAGCCACAGTGCCACTTCTGGTTTTCTGGTGGATAATTGGAGATAAGAGTATCATGCATGTTCTTGCCTGGGCTGGCTTTGAACCGCAATCCTCAGATCTCAGATTTCTGAGTAGCTAGGATTACAGGCGTGAGCCATCCGCACCCGGCTCCATAATATATATATATATATATTTTTTTTTTTTTTTTTTTGCCAGTCCTGTGACTTGAACTCAGGGCCTGGGCACTGTCCTTGAGCTTCTTTTTGTTCAAGGCTAGCCCTCTACCACTTGAGCCACAGTGCTACTTCCAGCTTTTTCTGTGTATATGGTGCTGAAGAATAGAACCCAGGGCTTCATGTGTGCTAGGCAAGCACTCTACCACTAGGCCACCTTCCCAGCACCTCCATAATATTCTTTACAGACATTTTTCTCTTGTCCAGGGTGATGCTTTGTATGTATGTATGTATGTATTGGTTGGTCATAGGGCTTGAACTCAGGGCCAGGGTGCTGTCCCTGAGCTTTTCTGCTTAATCTAACACTGTATCACTTTGAGCCACAGCTCTACTTCTGGTTTTCTGGTTGTTAATTACAATATTCTCACTGATTTTCCTTCCTGGGCTGGCTTCAAACCTTGATCCTCCTATCTCAGCCTCAGCCACCAGTTCCTGGTTGATGCTTTGTGTTTAATACTCATATTTCTTATCTCAAGTCCTTGGGGCTATTATTTTTGAAGGTTCTTGTTCTGAATGTACAGTGGTGTGAATGTGCTCTCTAACTCCAGATTCTTTCCTTTTCCCTTTTCTATATAGTATAAAGTTTCCCACATTGGTTCCCTGAGTCCAAGACCCTAAACAAGATCCAACCAAGCTATAACCACCCAGATGGTCCTGTATGGCACTCATTTCCTGTAAATGACTTAGAATGAGCTGCCCACTGCCTAGCTATTCTCAATGATATTAGCATTGAGAGCCTTTGTACTTTTCCGGAGGCACTAGAGGCTTCTGTTAACTGCCCTAACAATTAACTCTAGTTGCTTCATATGGATTTACAGACATTTAGCAGGATAAAAAAATGATTACACATTTGCAGAGGTGAGAGTTTCATTGCAACTAGAGTGCTTCTCCTCTTATTCTTCCTTCTTTTTGTTCACCCAGGGACAATCAGTTCATTAGTGAAAGGAAGTCAAAAGCCAGTGTATTACAAGACAAAAATGGCTATCTGTCATAGTATGCCTTTTTCTCATTTCTTGGAAGCTGATGGTAAGAATTATCCAGTCATCTAAGTGTATTCTATTTTTCATTTCTTTCCAGGTAAAGGTAGTAGTCTTCGACAAGACTGGAACCATTACCCATGGAACTCCAGTGGTGAATCAAGTAAAGATTCTAGTGGAAAGTAACAGGATGCCTCGCAGTAGGATCCTGGCCATTGTGGGAACTGCTGAGAGCAGCAGTGAGCACCCTCTAGGAACAGCGGTAACCAAGTACTGCAAACAGGTATGCTTCCCCTTTGATTCTATCCATGCCATCTTCTCTTGTAGTAATTACACCACCAAGACTGGTCTTTGCCTATAATTTATCTGTATAGTTAATGGAAAGCTAAAAAGAATTGTCCTTTCTCATCAACTCTTAGATGACTTAGTTTCTTCACAAAAACAAGTAGAAAGATAAAAATAGTTTATTCTGATCCTGCCACACATGGCTGCTGTTGATCTAAAGTAATACAGGAATGTGGTGGAAAAATGTAGATAGTTCAGATAGTTCATAATTCCTCTCTCCAATGTTTAACAATTGTTATCCTGACAACTTTATTGAGATATATTTCATGAACTATATAAAGTTCATCTCTCCCTCCTTTTTTTCCATCCTGGGGCTTGAACTCAGGGCCTGGGCTCTGTCCCTGAGCCTCTTTCAGCTCAAGGCTAGCACTCTACCTCTTGAGCCACAGTGCCACTTCTGGCTTTTTCTTAGTAGTTAATTGGAGATAAGAATCTCATAGCTTTCTTGCCTGGGTTGTCTTTGAACTGCAATTCTCAGATCTTAGCCTCCTGACTACCTAAGATTACAGGCCTGAGCCACTGGCACCTGGCTAGTTCCTCCCCTTTAAAGTATACAATTCAATGATTTTTTAAATATTCACAAAGTATAACTGTTAACCTTTTATTTTGTATGCCAGTCCTGGGGCTTGAACTCAGGACCTGGGTACCACCCCTGAGCAGTTTTTTTGCTCGAGGATAGTGCTCTACCACTTGAACCATAGTTCTACTTCTGGCTTTTTGGTGATTAATTGAAGATAAGAGTCTCAGGGATTTCCTGCCAAGGCTTTGAACTGTGATCCTCAGATTTCAGCCTCCTGAAGAGCTAGGATTACAGGCATGAGCCATCATCAGCTCCTGGCTGTATGGCCCAGGCTGGCCTCAAAGTCTCAGTCTTCTAATCTCAGTTTCACCAAAGGTTGGAATTTTGTGAAGAAATTAAGTCATCTATGAGTTGATAAGAAAGGATAATTCTTTTTAGCCTTCCATCAACTATACAGATAAATTATTGGCAGATATAGATATACGCATATGTCTGTATATCTATATCAGTGTCTATTGATAGCTATAGATATATCTTTATATAATTTTTAAACTTTACATAGAAATGTCATACAATGACTAATCTTAGTACCTTGCTTTTTATTAAGTGAAATCTTTATATCAGGAAATACAGCTTTGCCCCATTCATTTTTTTGTACTGTTATTGTTGTTTATTTGCTTTTATTTTTGTTCTGGTACTGGGCTTAACCCAGGGCACCTTGCTCTCAGGGCTTTTTTGGCTTTTTTGATTATGGCTGGTGCTATACCAATTTAGTCATGCCTCCAGTCCTTCCCCCATTGTTTGTATTCTTGTTTTATAATTTTTTGGCTTTTACAATATACATTAAATGTCTCTATTAGCTTTTGCAAATCTATCACCGTTACATATTTATTGATGCAATTGTTTCATCAAATGATGTTGTGGTTAACTTTTTTGTTTGTTGTTTTGTTTTTTGGGGGTTTTTGGTTTGTTGTGGGGCTTGAATTCTGGGCCTGGACACTGTCCCTGAGCTCTTGGGCTCAAGGCAAGTGGTCTACCTCTTGAGCCACAGTGCCACTTCTGGTTTTCTGGTGGTTAACTGGAGATAAGAGTCTTATGGACTTTGCTGCCTGAGCTGGTTTTGAACGGTGATCCTCAGGTCTCAGCCTCCTAAGAAGCTAGGATTATAGGCGTGAGCCACCAGCTCCCAGCTGTGGTTAACTTTTGATGACTATCACCAGCATCCATGCAGAGGGTGCACCAGTTTGTACCTTCATCCAATGCCATGAGAGTCCATTTCTCCACATTCTGGTCTTGGGGCTTCAACTCAGGGTCTCACACTCTCACTCAGCTTTTTTGCTCATGGAGGGCAGTATACCACTTTAGCCATGCCTCCAGCCCAGTTTTTTTGCTCATTGGAGATAGAGTTTTGTAGACATTTCTGCCTTGGTTGCTTTTGAACCTTAAACCACAGATCTCAGCCTCTTGTGTATTTAGGAATACAGAGGTGAGCCAGTAGTAACCCGCTCATTTCTTGTTCCCAGCTCATTTCTCTACATTCTTTTTTTTTTGGGTCCGGTGGTGGGTCCTGAACTCTGGGCCCTCAACTCTTTAGCTCAAGGCTAGCACTCTACCACTTGAGCCACAGCGCCATTTCCGGCTTTTTTTTCTTTTTGCTTATGTGGTACTGAGGAATCGAACCCAGGGCCTCATGCATGCAAGGCAAGTGCTCTACCACTGAGCCACCTTCCCAGCCCTCTACATTGTTTTTTAAAATTTTATTTTATTATAAAGATGTTGTATAGATGAGTTATAGTTATGTAAGGCAATGAGTACATTGCTTTTTTTTTCTTCCTTTTAATTTTATTCTTTTATTATCTTTTTAAAAAATTTTTTTATTGTGAAAATACTGTACAGAGGGGTTACAATTACATGGGTAAGCTAATGAGTACATTTCTTTTTTTTTCATTTTTATTTTTATTTTTTGTAAACATACTGTACAGAGGGGTTACAATTACATGGGCAAGATAATGAGTACATTTCTTACCAAGCATGGTAGCCTCCTCCTTTGTTTCCCCTTCCCATCCCTTCCCATCCTCCCCTCCCGCCCCCCCAATCCTCCCCACCCCCCCACCAAAGTTGTAAAGTTCATTTTCAACATAATGACTTGTACTTGCAATGCATACATTTCTTGTTGAGCATTATTACCCCTTCCCTTGTTGTTCTCTCAACACTTTATTTTTAATTACTTTTTCTTTTTTTACATTTGGTCAGTCATGAGGCCTGAACTCTGGGCTTGGGCATTGTCGCTCAGCTCTTTAGCTCAAGGCTAGTGCTCTGCCACTTGAGCCACAGTGCCACTTCCAGCTTTTATCTGCTTATGTGGTGCTGAGGAATTGAACCCAGGGCCTCATGCATGCAAGGCAAGCGCTCTACCACTGAGCTACCTTCCCAACCCATTACTTTTTCTTTTTTTGGTCAGTTGTGGGGCTTGAACTCTAGGCCTCGGTGCTTTCCCTCAGCTCTTCAGCTCAAAGCTAATGCTTTACCACTTGAGCCACAGCACTAGTTCCGATTTTCTTAGTAGTTTATTGGAGATAAGAGTCTCACGGACTTTCCTGCCCGAGCTGGCTTTGAACTGTGATCCTCAGATCTCAGCCTCCTGAGTAGCTAGGATTACAGGCATGAGCCACTGGTGCCCAGCTATTTTTAATTACTTTTGACAGTTGCTTTGCACTTCCTTAATTATGAGTAAAATTGAATTTTTTTGTTGGTTGTAGGGCTTGAACTCTGGGCCTGGGTGCTGTCCCTGAGCTCTTCAGCTCAAGGTTAGTGCACTACCACTTGAGCCACAGGGCCACTTCCAGCTTTTTCTGTGTATGTGGTACTAAGGAATTGAACCCAGGGCTTCATGCATGCTAGGCAAGCATTCAACCACTAGGCCACATTCCCAGCCCTTGAGTATTTTTTTCTTTTATCCTGGGGCTTGAACTCTGGAACTTTTGCTTGGCTTTTTTTTGCTCAGGGTTGGCACTCTACCACTTAATTCATAGTTCCATTTCTGGCTTTTTTTCTGGTTAATTGGAGACAAGTATGTCTCACAGTTTTGTCTATCCTGGCTTACTTCAAGTCGTGAGTCTCAGATCTCAGTCTCCTGAGTAGCTAAGATTATAGGTGTGAGTACCAGCATTTGGCCTGAATTTCTTTTAATGTATTGATTGACATTTGTATTTGTTTTTTCTCCAACTAATTAGTATCCTTTGTTTGTTCACAAGGTTCTTGTGTGTGTGTGTGTGTGTGTGTGTGTGTGTTTCTCATTGATTTATATAAGTTCTTTCTTCTCTCTCCTCTTCTTCCCCCTTCTCTCTCTCTCTCTCTCTCTCTCTCTCTCCCCTCTCTTTTGCAGTACTAGGGCTTGAACTCCAAACCCTGAGCTTACTAGGCAGATTTCCTACTACTTGAACTATACTTCAGTCCCTTTTTTTATTGGTTATTTTTTATGTCTAGTCTCTGCTTATGCCCAGGCTGTCCTGGGATACGATCCTTCTACTTGTGTTTCCCTGTATCTCTGGCAATTACAGGTGCAAACCACTGTTTCCAACTGTGTAAATTCTTAATTATTTCACATTAATTTAACACTAAAATATAGCAATTTGACTGGGGCCAGTGGCTCATGCCTGTAGTCTTAGTTCTCCCTCCCCCCAATGCTGAGGACTGAACTCAAGGCCCTGCACTTACCAGGCAAGTGCTTTCCACTGAGCTAAATCCCCAACCCTAAGGTGTAGCCCAGGCTGTCTCAAACTTGTGATCCTCCTGCCTTATCTTCCTCATCGATTACCAGTATGTGCCACCACGGCTGGTTGTAATCTTAGTTACTCATTTTGTCCCTAAAGCTGATCCATCCCCTAACCCTCACCTGAACTCAAGAACTCCCTCTAACCTTAACCCTAACCCTAATGCCCCAAGAATTCTCTCAGGAGGATCTCAGTTCAAAGCCAACTGAGGCAAGGAAGTCTGTGAGACTCATCTCCAATTAACTACAAGAAAGCCAGAAGTAGAGCTGTGGCTCAACGTGGTAGAGCACTAGTGTTGAGCAAAAGACCTCCAGGACCAGTGCCCAAGCCTTGAGTTCAAGCCCTACAACTGACTAAAAAACAAAAACAAAAAAGCAAGAACAAAAATAGACTTGTGGTTCCATACTTGAAAGGGCAGAAAATATCCATAATCTTATAAAATTGAGAGAGTAAGGGCTGGGAAGGTGGCTCAGTGGTAGAGTGCTTGCCTTGCATGTATGAGGCCCTTGATTCGATTCCTCAGCACCACATAAGCAAAAAGAAAAAAGCCGGAAGTGGTGCTGTGGCTCAAGTGGTAGTGCGCTAGCAATGAACTGAAGAGCTGAGGGATAGCACCCAGGCTCAGAGTTCAAGCCCCACAACCAGACCCCCCCCCCAAAATTGAGAGAGTAAGATCAAAACAAAGGCTTCTGGGGCTGTCCTATGACTTTGAATGTTATGCTCACTCTGTTTCTTTATAGTCATCCACTGTCAAGTGGGCAGTGGTTAGTGATAATTTTGTTTAAAGTTTCCTGTTCACTAGAAGTAATCCAATCTGTGATCTTGCTGATAGATGCCCTTGGATTTTCAGAGCAGCATAGGAAGTCTTACTCCCATTTGTTTCTGTTTGTTAGGAGCTGGACACTGAAACCTTGGGTACCTGTACAGATTTCCAGGTTGTCCCAGGCTGTGGCATTAGCTGCAAAGTCACCAATATTGAAGGCTTGATCCATAAGAACAACTGGAAGATAGAGGAAAATAACATTAAAAATGCATCCCTTGTTGACATTGATTCAAGTAATGAACTGCCAACTTCGTCTTCTATGATCATTGATGCCCAATACTCAAGTAAGCTAATTTTCTTTGTAGTGCCAATTGTGAATCATCAGCTAACTTGATAACCTGGACTGTAATAGAAGAAACAAAACTTGCCATCCTGATTTTATTCTCTCAAATCAGGTTTATTCAAGGCTGCCTGATGACTTCTCAGGAATATTTGCCAGCTGTGCTCACCCATACCACCATAGAGTGATGGGAGCTGCCCTTAGCAGATGCTTCATGATTTCGTATTTCTCTCTACAACTCTCACTCTGTTATTTTTTAATTTTCATTCATTAATTAACTTTGGTGCCAGTCCTAGGGCTTGCACTCAAGACCTGGGTACTGTCTCTAAGCTTTTTTGCTTAAGACTAGTGCTCTACCATTTTATGTCACAACTGTATTTCTGGTTTTCTGGTGATTACTTGGAGATAAGAGTTGCATTGACTTTCCTGCTCGGGCTGGCTTTGTACCGTGATCCTCAAATCTCAGCTTCGTGAATACCTAGGATTATAGACGTGAGCCACCAGCACCAAGCTAACTTCTCAACCTTTTGTATCTTTCAAGAGATCCTGTGTACCTCTCTCAAGGCCCCTCTGCAAATCACCTTCTCATATAGAAATTTATACTTCTCACACATGTGTTCTTTCTATGTTTAGTCATTCCTTCTCCATGGGAAGAGGTATCCCCCATCTTGCGTGGCACACCTCTCCATGTTTGCTCCAGCCCCACCCTCTCTCAGTTGCTCAGGGACCTCCCTCCCTCTGTCCTGTCTCCTTGCTTTTTTGTTGTTGTTGTTATTGGTCGTGGGGCTTGAACTCTGGGCCTGGGCACTGTCCCTCAGCTCTTCAGCTCAAGGCTAGCACTCTACCTCTTGAGCCATAGCACCACTTCCATTTTTCTGGGTGGTTTATTGGAGATAAGAGTCTCACAGACTTTCCTTCCTGGGCTGGCTTTGAACCACGATCCTCAGATCTCAGCCTCCTGAGTAGCTAGGATTACAGGCATGAGCCACCAGCGACCGGCTCCTTGCTTCTTGATTGTCAGAGTTCTCTTTTTGTAGCAGCTTCTTCTGAATATTTCTTCCACCGAAATCATTAATTCCCATCTAAACTCAGCCTTTCTTTTCTTTCTTTTCCTTTGTCTCTAAGATTCAAGATAGCATATTCTAAAGTTATTAAATTCACTTAGTTGCTACACACTCATTTCCGTTCATGCAGTCTGGCTTCTAACCCATCCACACCACTGAAGCTGTTCTTTCTGTTACTGAACTGTGCCCTCAGTGCCCCCTCTACTGGTCATTTTTTAGTCTGCACCCTTAGCATTTGATTCTCTTCCCTTCAAAAACATTCTTGGGCCAGTACTGGGGCTTGAACTCAGGGTCTGGAGCTCTTTGCTTAGTTTTTTTTTTTGAGGATTTGTCTGCTTGGGTTGGGATTGAATTGGGGACCTTCAGATCTCACTCTCCTGAGTAGCTAGAGTTATAGGCATGAGCCACTAGTACCTGGCCTTAGTTCTTACTCAGTTCCTTTTTACTTCTCTCAAATATTGTATATCCTCAGGAATCTGCTTTTGATCTTTTTTCTCATTTTATGTACTCACCCTCTATTCAATTCCATTCATGCTCATCACTTGTCCTCCCACAAATCCTTCTGCTACCACTCCAGAATCTATAGCTCTAGGCAATGACTGTTTTATAGGCCCCATGCTGACCTATCATCCCAGAATACAATGGACCCACCCATCTGTGTCTGAGTGATCTTGTTACCTGGTAAATTCAGTCATGGTACTTCATCAGTGACTTTATTTTATAGTGTATTTTAATCGATGTTGGAATCATGGATCCTTTGGAGAAATGGGCTGAAAATTATGAGCCTACTTATGAAATGTTTGTCTTAGGACATCTGTCCTGAAGCACATCCATGGATCTTGGTTAAAAAATCCCAATTTAATGGGTCTCTTTCTCCTTCAGAGCTTGGTCCAAAATCTCTTCCTCAAGTTATATTTCCTGCCTCCCTGTATCGGTTTTGTCTTTTTCCAGTGCTCAATGTGTATTGTGTTGTATGTCCCATCCATACCTTCCTATGTACAGTTCCTCCTTATAGTACATTATTTCCTGTCCATTAGATCATTCCATTTACTGCTTCCCTGTATAATGCCCTTATCCACAAGTTACATCTACCTCGTGAACCCTTGTGCTATCTATCCAGAACCAGCTTCCATCTCTCTTCAGTGACATGTTCACTGACTGTGGTAAACTGGTAGAGGTAGTTACTTATCTTCAATAATAGCTGTACTTTATCTGTGTGATTTACTAGGCACACTATGTAATATATCTGTGTGATTTACTAGGCATGCTATGTAATAATTGATTATGGGGCTAGGAATGTGGCTTAGTGGTAGAGTACTTGCCTAGCATTCATGAGGCCCTGGTTTCAACTCCTCGGTACCATATAAACAGAAAAGGCTCAAGCGGTAGAGTGCTAGTCTGGCTCAGCAAGAACTTCATGGCCAGAACAGACTTAAGTGAGGAGGAAAAGGAAGAGATGATGTGACACACATATTGCTGATCTAGGTCTCATGCAAGGACGTTGAAAATAGTTGGTCTTTTTCTTTGGTTGGTTTTCAGTGCTAGGGATCAAATCCAAAACCTAGCATATACTAAGCAAGTGCTCTGTTGTAAGCTAGATGTCCAGCGAGAATTTTTGAATTTTTTACCCTGAGATGGGAAGCTACTTCAGGGTTTTGAATAGTGGAGGGCTGGTATTTGACTGGATGGTTTTGTTTCTGTTTTCTTTTTTTTTTTTTTTTTGCCAGTCATGGGATCTGAACTCTGGCCTTGGCACTGTCCCTCAGCTCTTGGGCTCAAGGCTAGCACTCTACCACTTGAGCCACACGCCACTCCCAGCTTCTTCTGCTTATGTTGTGCTGAGGAATCGAAACCAGGGCCTCATGCATGCGAGGCAAGCACTCTACCATTGATCTACCTTCCTAGCCCTGTTATCATTTTTGTGCTTGTCCTGGGACTTGAACTTGACCTGAGTGCTGTCCTTGAGCTTTTTTTTTTTTCCTTTAAGGCTAGTGCTCCACTTCCAGCTTTACTGGTGATTAACTAAAGAGTCTCATAGATTTTCCTACCCAGGCTGGTTGAACTGTGATCATCATATCTCAGCTTCTTGAATAGCTCAGATACAGATGTGAGCCACCAGCGCTCAGCTTGACTTAATGTTTTTCAAATATTATTCTGTGTTCTCTGAGGAAGTAGGAACTGAGGGCAAGGGAAGTGGCAGAGAGATGAGTGGACTGTTGCCATATTCCAAATGAAAGATCACAGGCTGGGAATGAGGCTCAGTGGTAGAGTGTTTGCCTTGCATGCATGAAGCCCTAGGTTCAATTCCTCAGTACCACATAAACAGAAAAAGTTGGAAGTGGCACTGTGGCTCAAGTGGTAGAGTGCTAGCCTTGAGCAAAAACAGCTCAGGAACAGTACCCAGGCCCTGAGTTCAAGCTCCAGGACTGGCAAAAAAAAAAATGTTTGTTTTTTTTTTTGTCGGTGGTGGGGCTTGAACTAGAGGCCTGGGTGCTGTCCCTCAGCTCTTCAGCTCAAGGCTAGTGCTCTATCATTGAACCACAGGGCTACTTCTGTCCTTTTCTGTTTATGTGGTGCTGAGAAATTGAACCCAAGGCTTCATGTGTGCTAGGCAAGTACTCTACTACCAAGCCAAATTCCCAGCCCAACATATATATATATATATATGTATAATTTATTTATTTATTTTTTTGTCGTGGGGCTTGAACTCTGGGCTTGGGCGCTGCCCTTGTGCTCTTCAGCTCAAGGCGAGTGCTCTACTGCTTGAGCCACAGCACCACTTACGGTTTTCTAGCGGAAGATAAGAGTCTCACGAACTTTCCTGCCCAGGCTGGCTTTGAACCGCGATCCTCAGATCTCAGCCTCATGAGTAGCTAGGATTACAGGCGTGAGCCACCGGCGCCCCGCTCCAACATATATATTTTTAATGTATACCTAAGAAATATTTAAGAAACCAACAAGCCGGGCATGGTGGCTCATGCCCATAATCCTAGCTATTCAGGAGGCTGAGATCTGAGGATCACAATTCAAAGCCAGCCTGTGCAGGAAAATCCATGAGACTCTTATCTCCAGTGAACCACCAGAAAACCAGAAGTGGAGTTGTGGCTCAAAATGGTAGAGTGCTAGCCTTGAGCACAAAAGCTTAGGGACAGTACGTAGGCCCTGAGTTCAAGCCCCAAGACTGATGAAAACAAAACTAACACAATGATATAATTTAGTGTCATGCATGTTGTTATTGACAAAAATAAAATCATTTTGGTAATTAAAGAAGGAGCAGGGTCAATATGTAGTAGAAGGGGCTGTGGGATGTAAGGATACAGAAAACACAGGTAGCCTGGGAGATGACTTGATTTTTGTTTTCTGGCATGAGAATGAAGGAGAAGTTAAGGACTGGAAAGGAGAGATTTGACATAGTCATCTAGAAGATACACAGAACTGGTAGACTAGTGAAGTGTAGTGAATAGTCAGAGCATCAAAGCCTCACTTAAAGTCCATCATCCTGGGTGCCAGTGGCCCACACCTGTTGTAATCCTAGCTACTGAGAAAGCTGAGATCTGAGGATTGTGGTTCAAAGCCAGCCTAGGCAGGAAAGTCCATGAGACTTTTTTTTTTTTAGTCATGGGGTTTGAATTCTGGGCCTGGGCACTGTTCCTCAGCTCTTCAGCTCAAGGTGAACACTCAGTACTTGAGCCATAGCACCACTTCTGGTTTTCTGAGTGGTTTATTGGAGTCTCTGGACATCTGTCAGTCTAGTGCCTGGGACTAGGAATTTCCTGAGGATCTGCCTCCTGCAACGACCTATTTAGGCCCAGACCAGCCTAGCTGCTGGACTCCATGCCATGTGTGTCCCTGTGATCATGTCCTGTGTCCAGTTTCCTGGTTCGTCTCCAGTTATCATGGCGTCCCAATTCAGCTCAAGAGCTGAATTGGCTTGCTGGTATTGTTCTTGTTATTTCTTTCCTCTTTAGCATGTTTCCTGGCTGTGTTATGTGTATTTGCATGCAGCAGGCCTTTGTAACAACTGGTGGCCTGCAGCCTGTTAACTGTATAATAAAGACTCCAGTATTATATATATATTTTTTTTTTCTTTTTTTTTTTTTTTCCCCCAGGGCTGAGGACCGAACCCAGGGCCTTGCACACGCCGGGCAGGCGCCCTTCAGCTGGGCTAAACCCCCCAGCCGCTCTATTTTTTTTTTTAAGTCTCATGGACTTTCCTGCTCAGGCTGGCTTTGAATAATGATCCTCAGATCTCAGCCTCTTGGATAGCTAGGATAATAGGCCACCCAGTGAGACTCTTATCTCCAATTAATCACAGAAAAACCTGGAAGTGACTCTATGACTCAACTGGTAGAGCACAAGCCTTCAGCAAAAGGAACCCAGGGACAGTGCCCAGGCTCAAGAGTTCAAGCACCAGGACAGGATGTGTGTGTGTAGTCAGCCTTGACTCAGAGAGAAACATCAGTATGATTGCATGTTTACCCCTAACCACATTAGGCTACTGGTAGACAACAAGTAATTTTCAACTTAATTGAATTGCTGTGTAATTGCAAATTGAATTAATATTGCAACCAACTGGAATTGAATATTCAGTTGCTTCTATTACTATGAAAGGACAAAGGAGAACCTTAAGAAGAAAGTGACATTTTATTTTTTGTGCCTGTCCTGGTGCTTGAACTCAGAGTCTGGGCACTGTCCCTGAGTTTTTGTGCTCAAGGCTAGCTAGCACTCTACCGCTTGAGCCACAGCTCCACTTATATCTCTTTTTTTTTTTTTTTGTAGTTAATTGGAGGTAAGAGATGGAGACTGCAGTCAAGAATTCAATGTATATCCTACAAAATTTTTAAAAAGTGAAGAGAAGGGTGGGATGGGAGGGACGGGAAAGAATGTTGAAAGGGGTGATACTGATCAAGATGAATTGTAGTCATAAACTGCCTTGTCAAATGGCAATTCCTTTGTGCAATTACTTAAAGATAATAAAAAGTAAAATTAAAAAAGAGTCTTACAAACTTTTCCTGCCCAATCTGGCTTCAAACTGTGAATCTCAGATCTCGGCCTCCTTAGTAGCTAAGACTATAGGCATGAGCCACTGGTATCTAGCACTTTTGGTGTTTTCATTTTTTTAGTGGAGGTGGTCAACTGTAAATAAGAGTCTTAAAGATTTTCTTGTCTGTGCTGGCTCCAATCAATGATCCTCACATAGCAGCCTTCTGAGTAGTTAGGATTGCAGATGTGAGCCACTGGCAGCCAGCAGAAAGTGACATCTGAACTGGTTCTTGAAGAACATGGGGACAGTGCTAAGGGCATTTCAGGTGAAGGCAGCTCTGTGTGCTCTGAGTCTGTTCCTAGAAAAGTTGAGAGTCACAGTTATTTACAAAAAAAAAATACAGTGTAGTGACTACAAGGTTAGATAGGAACTTGCCTTCATAGGGTGGCTGTAGGGGATAAATGAGTTCAATGTTATTTCTGTGTTTTCTTTCAGATACTGTTAATACACAGCAGTACAAAGTCCTCATTGGCAATCGGGAGTGGATGATTAGAAATGGTCTTGTTATTAGTAATGATGTTGATGATTACATGATTGAACATGAAAGGAGAGGTCGGACTGCTGTATTGGTGGCAGTGGATGGTAAGATTTCCCATAGTGTGCTGTGACTCACTGTTGTGACCTGATATTGTTTAATGTGTATTTTGGACAGCCTTCTGAACTATGAAGGTTATTCAAAAGTAACTTGAATGCAAAGTGAAAATATTAGCAGCATATTCTGGGTCACAATTAGTTAAAACTTATCTTGCCAGGAGGTTGATACAAGATCTTGGATTCAAGGTGAGGCTGGGCTACATATAACAAGACCCTGTCTCAAAACAAAACAACAACAGCCAGACCAACACCAGTGACTCATGCCTGTAATCCTAGCTACTCAGGAGGTTGAGATCTGTGGATTGAGGTTCAAATCCAGCCCGGGCAGGAAAGTCTGAGACTCTTATCTCCAAATAACCACTAGAAAACTAGAAGTAGTTATGTGGCTCTGTGGTAGAGCACTCTCCTTGAGCTGAAGAGCTGAGGGTCAACGCCCAGGCCCATAGTTCAAGCCCCAGGACTAACCTAAAAAGAAAAAAAAACCTACAAAACAACAACAAAAACCCAGTTGGGATGGGGCTCCAAATTCAGTCTCCAGAACCACAAAAGAAAAAAACAGCTCTTTAGAAATTCTTTTGTATATGCTTACCTGTATTATTTTCTTATCTATCTTGTTTTAAGTAAAAAAACTCCTTTTTTGATACTAAATTTAAACCAGATCCTAACAGTTACTAAGCAGACTTTGTATCCATCTTCCAGTCCTGTTTTATATTGTTTGCCTTTTTTTTTTAATGCTACTGCTGGGCTTGAAACGCAGGAACTGGATACTGTCCCTTAACTTTTTTGCTTAAGCCCAGTACTCTACTAAGAGTGTCATGGACTTTCCTTCTGGCCTTCAAACCTTAATACTCAGATCTCAGCTTCCTGAGTAGCTAGGATTTCAGGCCTGAGCCACCATCACCCACATCACATTAGTTGTTCTTGAGATAGGGTCTCACTTTATGCCAGGGCCAGTTTGGACAAGATTCCTTCTATTTGTGCTTCCCCAAGAGGCTGGATGACTAGCATGAATTGCTATGCCCAACCATTGTTCTTCCCCATAGCTGTTTAATAGGAATGTATTACCTGAATCTCCTGAACTTCATATTTTTTTTTGCTTGGGCTATCCCTAAACTGTGATTCTCCAATCTCCACCTACCAAGTAACTAAAATTATAGATTTGAACCACTGTGCCTGGCAATTAAAAATCTAAAAGTAACTTGACATTAAAATAATAGGAGGGCTGGGAATGTGGCTTAGGGGTAGAGTGCTTGCCTAGCATGCATGAAACTCTGGGTTTGATTCCTCAGTACCACATAAACAGAAAAAGTTGGAAGTGGCACTGTGACTCAAGAGGTAGATTGCTAGTCTTGAGCAAAAGCAGCTCAGGAACAGTGCCCAGGTCCTGAGCTCAAGCCCAGGACTGGCAAAATAATAATAATGATGATAACAACAACAACAATAATAATAGAGTCAAAGCCAGGTGCCAGTGGTTCACACCTATAATCCTAGCTACTCAGAAGTCTGAGGTTCACAGTTCAAAACCAGCCTAGGCAAGAAAGTCAGTGAGACTCTTTATCTCCAATTAACCATGAAGAAGTCAGAAGTGAAGCTATGGCTCAAGCAATAGATTGCCAGGTTTAAGCAAAAAAGCTTCAGGACATTGCCTAAGCCTTGAGTTCAAGCCCCAGTACCATCACTGTCACCAAAAAAACCCCAAACAAACCCTGCAGAGTAAAAATAGCATTCATTATTCTCATCCTAACACATTTTAATTTAATATATTTTGTTGTATATAAATATATATGATAAATATGATAGGTGTATATTATATATATGATACATATGTGTATATATATATATATATATATATATATGCATAGAGAGAAGTATATTAGTATATATACACTATCTGCCATGGGTATGCACAAGGCCCTGAGTTAAGCCTTAGCACCTTAAAAAAGTTAGTGTTGGCACACTCCTTTAACCTCAGCACTTGGGAGGCTGAAGCAGGAGGATTGAGCATCAAGGCCAGCCTGGGCTACATAGCAAGAACCCTACCATCTCAAAAACAAAAAACCCAAATTAAAATTCCTTGTACATTGTTTCATTATGTTTTATTTTACTAAATTAAACTCAATATTTCATGTTTGCTTAGCTTGCTTGCTCACTGTTTGCACTCTACCACTTGAGCATACCTACAACCTTGTTTTTTTTGCTGGCTATTTTGGAGTTAAAGACTATGGAGGACATTTCTTTTTGGCTAGTTTGAAATTCAGTCCTCTGGATCTCATTCTTCTGAGTAACTAGGATTGCAAACATGAGTCACCCATATCAGCTAATTAACTTTTTATTCTTATTAATTTTCACAGTGTTGGGTTTGGACCCAGGACCTAGGCAAGTGCTCTACCACTGAGCTACATCCCAAGTCCTTTAATTTTATTTTAATACTGTATCACTTAGTATACTTACATATTTCACTGTTGTTGAATATGTAGGGTATTTGTAATATTATAGTATTATATAACACTACAATAAACATACTTGATGTCTTATGAGCTTTCATTTGTTGTTATTTCTTAAGGTAGATATCTAGTTGTGAGCTTAATTCATTTATAATCCTTGCGAAGTATGAAGACAATATTTTCTGTGGCCTTTTGAAGTCAGTAAGAAATATAGACAATATTTTATTTTTGTTTGTTGAAATAAAGTAAATACCTTTCAATAAATTTTCCCTATATAAAATGTCAGTTTTATCTCCATTCATTCTTCTTTACCTTCAAAAGAAAAAAATATTAGTTTTCTTGTTAAATTTGCATTTAAATTATCTAGAAGTATTGTGGCTATTGGCAAATGCCTATCTAAGAAAAGAAGTCTTTAGATATTTAGTAAGGTGTCTCCCCCCAGCCTTTCTCTCTTGTGCGCACTTATTTTTGTGCCAGTCTTGGGGCTTGAACTGTGGGCCTGGGCACTATCCCTGATCTTTTGTCCTCCAGAATAGTGTTCTACCATTTCAGCTACACTTCCACTACTGGCTTTTCTTGGTAGTTAACTGAAGATAAGAGTCTCTAGGCTTTATTGCCCAGCCGGCTTATCTCAGTCTCCTGAGTAGCAATGATTACAGATGTGAGCTACTAGTATCCAGCAGGGTCTTTCTTATGAGTTAGTAATGCTTTCACCAGTTACCTGGTAGAATTTTCATAACCAAATATGGAAATTTGTGCAAAACTTGTCAGGCTCAAGCCCTGAACCGCTTTTTTGTTATCTACTGTATTGTTCTGCTTTCACCATATTCCAAGCCTTCTTCTCTTTTGCTGTTCCTTCATTAGATGAACTATGTGGCTTAATCGCCATTGCTGACACAGTGAAGCCCGAGGCAGAATTGGCTGTCCATATTCTGAAGTCTATGGGCTTAGAAGTAGTTTTGATGACTGGAGACAACAGCAAAACTGCTAGATCAATTGCTTCTCAGGTAAATGATACTTATTTCTTGTTGGAGTGAGGGGTGGGCATGTGGTAACTTCTAATTCTTTTTTTTTTTGCCAGTCTTGGGCTTTCACTCAGGGCCTGGGTGTTGACCTTGATTGAGCCTCTTTGTTCTCAAGGCTAGAACTCTACTACTTGAGCCACAACACCACTTCTAGCTTTTTCTTAGTTTATTGGAGTCGTACGGACTTTTTATGAGAGTCTTACGGACTTTCCTGCCTGGGCTGGCTTTGAACCGTGATCCTTATGTCTCAGCCTCCTGAGTAGATAGGATTACAGGTGTGAACCGCCAGTGCCTGGCTAACCTCTAATTCTTCATGTATATTTTATTTCTTGCATTTAGATGCTAAGTTATTCACAATAGATAATACTGTTTTCATTACCACTAAATAGTTATACCCGTTTCCTTAAAGAAGAATTAGCATACTGTGCTGGGAGGACTTTAGGATTTGGGTGTTACTGGTATAAGTAAAAGAAGGTATTTGCTTAGTTTGTGGGATGCTTGCATGATCCTATACACACTGATGTCTGTTGCTACGTCCTTTGAAATGTTGCTTGTATTCTTCACCAGCCCAAGCTGGGTGCTCACCATCACGGAAAAAACTCCAAGCAGGTTCCTCTTTAGTTCATCTTGATCCCTGCCATAGGCCCATTTTCCTACAACATACCACATTTCTGCTCACTGCACATTTGCCTTGTTGCTAATATTTTTCAGTCTTTTTTTTTAAACTTTAGAATGCCTTCTCCCTTCTAGTAAAGTGCACAAGGAATCCTTTTTTTGCTTGTCCTGGGACTTGAACTCAGGGCCTGGGCACTATCCCTCAGCCTCTTTGTGCTCAAGGCTACTGCTCTACCACTTGAGCAACAGCACTATTTCCAGCTTTTTCTGAGTAGTTTATTAGAGATAAGTCTCACAGACTTTTCTGCCCTGGCTGGCTTTGAACATGATTATCATATCTCAGCCTACTGAGTAGGTAGGATTACAGGTGTGGTCCACTAGTACCTGGCTGCACAAGGAATCTTTATGAATACATTTTTATATAAAAACACAGATGGAACCAGGAACCTTTGGCTCACACCTGTAATCCTAGCTACTTAGGATGCTGAGATCTGAGGACTGCAGTTTCCATTTCTTTTGGGGGGGGGGGGCGGGAGGGGGGTCCGGTCGTGGAGCCTGAACTCTGGGCTTGGGCACTGTCCCTCAGCTCTTCAGCTCAAGGCTAGCGCTCTACCACTTGAGCCACAGCGCCACTTCTGGCTTTTTTCTTTTTGCTTATGTGGTGCTGAGGAATCGAACCCAGGGCCTCAGGCATGCAAGGCAAGTGCTCTACCACTGAGCCACCTTCCCAGCTGAGGACTGCAGTTTGAAAGCCAGCCTAGACAGGAAAGTCTGTGAGACTCTTATCTAATAAACTACTCAAAAAATCTGGAAGTGGTACTGTGGCTCAAGTGGTAGACCATTAGCCTTGAGCACAAAGAAGCTAGGACAGCACCCAAGCCCAGAGTTCAGACCCCAGGACCTGCAAAATCAAAAAACTCACTTTTTCATATGTGTGTGTATGTGTTCATATACAAATGTTTCATTCCTAGTATTTTCAACTTCAAATGGATAATTTTGTACAGATTATTCAGTAGCTTTATTTTTTATTTTTATGCTGATATTGGGGCTTCAACTCAGAATATGGGCACTGCTTATGAGCTTTTTTGCTCATGGCTACTGCTTTACCATATAAGACACAGTTCTACTTTTGGCTTCTTGGTGATTAATTACAGATAAGAGTCTCATAGACTTTCCAGCCCAAGCTGACTTCAAACCCTTATCCTTATATTTCAGCCTTCTGGGAAGCTAAGTACAGGAGGTGCATGCCACTGACACTCTGCTAGTAGTCTTATTTTTTTTAACATAACAATATTCCTGAGCTTTGTTTACCTATAAGGTTATTTCTTTCTTTCTACACTGCTGGATGGAATTTTATGGTATGGGTGTATCATAATTTGTTGGACCATTTTCCAGTGAGATATTTAGGTGTTTTTGACATTTTTGTGGTTGCAAGTAGGCAATAATTAATATCTTCATTCTTGTACATGAAAAACTGTCTAAAATAGTTAAAAGTAGAATTGCTAGACCACTGCTAAATGTCCTCCAAAAATATAGTGTCAATTTTCACACTCAGCCACAGTGTACAAAAAGCTCATTCTTCCACATTATCACTGGATTTTGTTAGTCTCTTAAAATGTAGACACGTAGTAGATTAAGAAATGATAGCTCATCTGGGCACTGATGGCTCATGCCTGTAATCCTAGTAACTCAGGAGGCTGAGATCTGAGAATCATGGTTCAAAGCTAGCCAGGGCAGGGAAGTCCATGAAACTTTGATCTCCAATTAACCACCAAAAAGCCCAAAGTGGAGCTGTGGCTTAAGTGGAGAGGGCTAGCCTTGAGCAGAAAAAGCTCAGGGATAGCACTCAGGCCCTGAGTTCAAGCCCCAGTACTAGCACAAAAAAGGGAAGGAAGAGAGGTAGGGAGGGAAGGAAGGAGGGACAGAGATAGGAAAGGAAGGAAGGATGGAGGGAGAAAAAGAAGCAGAGGAAGAAGGAAGGAAGAAAGGAAGGAAGGAAGGAAGGAAGGGAAGGAGGAGGGAAGGAAGGAAGGAAGGAGAAAAGAATAGAAAAAAGGATGGTTTGTTACTGTTCAGTTATGTTTCAGGTGCCCAGTCTTATTTCTTTTTTTTTTTTTTTTTGTCCGGTAGTGGGGCCTGAACTCTGGGCCTGTGCGCTGTCCCTCAGCTCTTCAGCTCAAGGCTAGCGCTCTACCACTTGAGCCACAGCACCACTTCCGGCTTTTTTCTTTTTGCTTATGTGGGTGCTGAGGAATTGAACCCAGGGCCTCGAGCATGCAAGGCAAGCGCTCTACCACTGAGCCACCTTCCCAGCCCTCCAGTCTTATTTCTTGAATTAAGCTTGCTTTCTTCATCTAGGTTGGGATTACCAAGGTGTTTGCTGAAGTTCTGCCTTCCCACAAAGTGGCTAAGGTGAAGCAACTTCAAGAGGAAGGCAAGCGGGTAGCAATGGTTGGAGATGGAATTAATGACTCCCCAGCTCTGGCCATGGCAAATGTTGGAATTGCCATTGGCACAGGCACAGATGTAGCCATCGAAGCAGCTGATGTGGTTTTGATAAGGGTAAGTCTTACAGCCTTACCTCTGAGGAGTATGATGAGACTGCCCACTGTAGTCAGTGACAGCTTTGTAACTGATTCTACTCTAATTCACATGTTTCTAGCTGCAAAGAAGAGATGTTGTGTATGAAAAAGAGTATGAAAAAGTCTTAGGACTTCAATTCAGCAGTACAGATAAGAATCCCATGCTTGCTGGGCACTGGTGGCTCATGCTTATAATCTTAGTTACTCAGGAGGCTGAGATCTGAGGATCATGGTTCAAAGCCAGCTTGGGCAGAAAAGTCCATGAGACCCTTGTGCCCAATTAACCTCCAGAAAACCAAAAGTGGTGCTGTGGCTCAAAGTGGTAGAGCACTAGCTTTGAGTGAAAATGCTCAGGGACAGTGCCCAGGCCCTGAGTTCAAGTACCATGACTGACAAAAAAAGAAATCCCAGGCTAACCATGTGAAGAATAAGAGTTAGGAATGTATTTATAATATAATCATCTGGGACAAGTATTTGCCGAGGTTATGTTAATCAGATTTAATCCTTGTACCAGCCAACAACCCTAAAAGTGTTTTCAGAATGCTGAGGAAAATTTCTGAGAATTTCTCTTCAAGACTGATCAATGTTTTAGCAATATCTGAGATTTCAGTGAGTTCACATATTCCCCTAAAGTACACAAAAGTCCTCAAGGTTCCTATAAAGGTGGAGTCATTAATACCACAAATATTTCTGTTCTTAGAATGATCTTCTGGATGTTGTGGCGAGTATTGACTTATCAAGAAAGACTGTCAAGAGAATTCGGATAAATTTTGTCTTTGCTCTAATTTATAATCTGATTGGAATTCCCATAGCTGCTGGTATGTGACTCATAACCCTTATTGTTTTGTTCATTGAAGTCATGAGAAGCAAATCATATTGGAAGCGTTCATTTTCATTTGAGTTTTGTGTAAACTTTTAGTTTTGTGTAGAGCATGCTGATATGGATATGATGAGAAGTAATGGTAAAACCAATCATTTTCATTTTCAGCAGTGCCTCATTACAGCCTAAGAATGTATAAGTATTCTGATAGGCCTTTCTTCTTTTTCCCTCCAATATATATTTTGACAAATGTCAAACCTACATCAAAAGAGATACAAAAGGGACTGGGGCATGACCCAAGTGATAGAGCACTTGCCTAGCAAGTACAAGGCATTCAGTTCAAACATCAATACTGCCAAAAAATTAAAAGGTGCTATAGAAATCTGTCTACCCGCTGGGCGCTGGTGGCTCATGCCTGTAATCCTAGCTACTCAGGAGGCTGAGATCTGAGGATCGCAGTTCAAAGCCAGCCGGGGCAGGAGAGACGGTGAGACTCCTATCTCCAATAAACCACCAGGAAACCGGAAGTGGTGCTGTAGCTCAAGTGGTAGAGCACTCGCCTTGAGCTGAAGAGCTGAGGGACAGTGCCCAGGCCCAGAGTTCAAGCCCCACGACCGACAAAAAAAAAAAATCTGTCTACCCTTCACCTAAATTTACCAGTCAGTATTTTGCTACATTGCTTTGTTTCTCCATATACATACGTGCATGTGTATATTTACTTACTAGTTCACATTTTGCTGAACAGAAGTTACCTTTAACTTCACTATCCAAACACAATCATTATTAGTATTATATATTTCTTCCAGTCTTCTTTGCTGTGTTAGCTTGTATCTTGCTATGTACTTGTGACTATAGCACACAAAGTATTTTCTGTTCTCTCTTAATATCTGTCATAATCAACAGGTATTCTTTTAGGCTGAAGGAAAAATAAGAGGCATTGTATAAAGGAATATAGACAATAAATAATATTTATTTATATTTATAATTTATAAATATTTATATTTATTTATAATACTTAGAATTGTTCATTAAGTATCTGAGAGTCCCTTGAATTTAGACACTGAGCAAAAGATTAATAACCAGAGAAATAGTTACCAATTTCATCTTATTTTCTCTGGCTTGAGGGCCACAGAAACACACAAAATGACATGAAAATAGTTACAAAACTGTTAATAAAGATAAACATAAATACTAAGAGGAAAAAGAGCAAAAAAAAAACCCAGTCTAAATCTAGTAAGACTCATTGGTGGACCAAGTGATTTTTTGGTTGTTATTGTCTGTTGTTTTTGTGTGAGTACTGCAGCTTGAACTCAGGCCCAAGGTGCCATCCCTGAGCTTCTTTGTGCTCAAGGATAGTGCTCTACCACTTGTGCCACAGCACCAGTTCTGGCTTTTTCTGAATAGTTAATTGGAAATAAGAGTCTCATAACCTTTATTTTCCAGGCTGACTTCAAACCACGATCCTTGGATCTCAGCCTGAGTAGCTAGGAATACAACTCATCACCCACTAGTGCCCAGCCACCACGTGATTTTTTAAAATTTTATTGTTTTTTGAGACAGTCTCCCTATGTACTCCAGTCTGGCCTTGAATTCATGCTGTGTAATCCAGACTGCCCTTCGAACTTGCTGTGTACCTAGCCTGGCCTTCAACTCTCAGTACTCCTGAGCCTCCTGAGTACAAACCATACTCAGCTGAACAAGTGACTTTTAAAGAAACTATACAAGTAATATATGATTATTGTAGAAAAATAGAAATGTCCAGATGAACTTATAAAATTCAACGTACAAGAATTACCAGCTAGGCACGGGTGGCTTATGTCTACACTCTTCACTACTTAAGAGTCTGAAACCTGGAAGATCATGATTTAAAGCCAGCCAAGGCAGAGAAGTCTGAGAGACTTCATTTCTAATTAACTAGCAAAAAACTGGGTTAGATACATGGCTCAAGTGGTTGAGTACGAGCCACAAGCAAGCAAGCTCAGAACACAGCACTGAGTTCAATTTCCTAAACTATAAAAAAAAAAGAAAGGAAAAAGTACAAAAAGCCTATATTTCATCTCCATTATATGAGAAAATATTAAAATGCCAAAACCATGTGTGGATGAGTTTGTAGAACATGAACTCCAGTATACTGTTGGTAGAATTGTGAATTACTCTGGTTGCTTTTTGGGAACTGAGGGATTACATGTGCATTGAACATGTAATCACATTATTGTGATTTGGCAGTTTCACCCCTAGCATACACCCTAGAGAAATTCTAAAAATGTAGGTTTAGAGAGATGCATACCAGAATGTTTATGGCTGTACTTTATTAGTGGAAAAATTGGCAGCAACACACATCTCAACCAAGAGAATAAAATACTGAAGAAATTATTTGTTTACATTAGAAAGACACTGGTCATTCTTTAATACTGCTTACTCTAGCTAATCCACGCTTGTTTCCTAGGAGTTTTTATGCCCATTGGTTTGGTTTTGCAACCCTGGATGGGATCTGCAGCAATGGCCGCATCATCTGTTTCTGTGGTTCTTTCTTCTCTCTTCCTCAAACTGTAAGTATGATGATTTGCTCATGTTGCTAATTTTTTGGAGACAGGATTGCACTGTGTACCCCAGGCTGGCCTCAAACTCAATTCTGCCTCAGCCTTCCCCAGTGCTGGGATTATAGACCTGTGCCACCAAGCTCAGCTTTTATATGCTTTATTCATCCACAATTGGACTTGGTATATTTTATTTTTGTTTTGATTAGTAATAAGTCCATATTGGGAATTGGTGGCTGACACCTTTAATCATAGCTGTTCAGGAGGTTGATATCTGAGAATCACGGTTTGAAGACAGCCTGGGCAGGAAAATATATAAGACTCTTAATTCCAATTAACCACCAAAAAGAAAGAAGTGGAGGTGTCGTTCAAATGGTAGAGCCCAAGCCTTCAGCAAAAGAGGCTCAGGTTCAGCCTCTAGGCCCTGAGTTCAGTCCCTAGGACTGGTATAAAACAGTAAGCCCAAACTATTATTAATATGAGCGATTGTTAGCTCCTGACAACAATTGAGCTATGTGGTTGTCCTCTCATATAGTTTATGCATAGCCACCACAACATAAGTGAGCAGCATCTTTTCCTCTGGCTCTGAGAAGTAGGATTTCTTTTTCTTTCTTTCCTTCTTTTTTTTTTTTTTTTTTTGTTGGTCATGGGGCTTGAACTCTGGGCCTGGGCACTGTCTCAGCTCTTCAGCTCAAGGTGAGTGCTCTACCACTTGAGCCACAGTGCCACTTCTGGTTTTCTAGTGGTTTATTGGGGATGAGAGTCTCACGGACTTTCTTGCCCAGGCTCGCTTTGAACTATGATCCTCAGATCTCAGCCTCCTGATTAGCTAGGATTATAGGTGTGAGCCACCGGCACCTGGCTGAGAAGTAGGATTTCTGTTGTGTGCTTTTTTGTTAGTGGTAGTAGTGGTGGTCATGGGGCTTGGAGTATGAGCCTGGGTACTGTCTGGGTTTTTTTGCTCAAGGCTGGTGCTCTACCACTTTGAGTCACAGTGCCACCAGTTTTCTGGTGGTTAATTGGAGATAAGAATCTCATAGACTTTTCTGCCCAGGCTGGCTTTCAACCCTAATCCTCAGATTTCAGCCTCCTGAGGAGCTAGGATTACAGACGTGAGCCATTGGTGTCTGACTGAGAAGTAGGATTTCAGATCATTGCAACTCCACACAATACATTTCAAGCTATTTCCCTCATAGTGACCACCTTTCTTCATTTCATCCCAGACAAATCTTTTTCATTTACATATAGCAAGCATATGTTTCACATTTGCTTTGTTTAAACTAGTGTCCTTTTATATGTGCCCAGATACCGGAAACCAACTTATGAGAACTATGTACTGCCTGCCCGGAGCCAATTAGGACAGAAGAGCCCTTCGGAAATCAGCATTCACGTTGGGATAGATGACGCTTCAAGAAATTCTCCTAAACTGGGTTTACTAGACCGGATTGTTAATTACAGCAGAGCCTCCATAAACTCACTACTGTCTGATAAACGTTCCCTAAACAGCGTGGGGACGAGTGAAGCAGACAAGCACTCCCTTCTGGTGGGGGACTTCAGGGAAGATGACGACACCACGTTATAGAAAGCGCCAGAGGAGGCTGCTGTTGAAATTGTTATGCACTGACATTCAGCACATCATCTTGAATTTTCAAACTCTTATGGAAAGACTTTATGTTGGTTTCTGGCTCTTATATAACAGAATCAATTTTGATTGCAATTGTTACATGGCGGGGAAATATCACCATCAGGACACAAGTTCTGAACCTAGCTTTATCAAAATGAGTGACCAGCATGTTTTGTTTTCACTAATGACAGACTAAGGGTAGAGCAGTGCAATTGAAAACAAGATCTTCCATTAGAGATTGCCCAGTGGCTGCTAAGGTAATAGATTCTTTTTTCTTCTTGACCAAAATAAAAAGCCCAAAGACAGGGTTTTTTGAAATCTGAAGATTTGAAAGAATAAACCTTAGGGATATTCTTGAGCCTGTATCCCTGCCCACTGGAGCAATGCCTTTGAAAGCACTGTTGAAAACATATAGTTTTAGAAGGGAAATAGTTAAAACTGTTAGAAAGTAGATGTGCCTTATTTATTGTAGGGTTTCTTTCCATTTTATTCTTTCTGTGTCCTTGATCTTGCAGTTTCTTAAGATGTTGTCTTTTGTTATCTTCCTTCAAGTGAGCCAAGTTAGATGTTTTTTTTTCATTGATTAAAAATAACTGACAATAATCACTCCAGAGATTGAGGCAGAAAGATCATGAGTTTGAGGCTATAGAGCAACACCCTGCCTCAAAAGAACATATAAACAGAACCCCTCAAAACTGACCATGTGTCCAGTATCTTTTCCTTTTTTTAACATTTTTGCAGCTCCAAAGATTTTAAGGATCTGAAGGGTTCCTTGCCTCCCATATTTCTTTGTGGTAAAGATTTATCAATGTTCCTCTAATCTTCCCTACCTTTGCGCTAGCTTTTGCTTCACTCCTGCTGAGTTCAAGGCTAAGTTATTTTTAGTGTTGTCTGTCCATCGGTTTCACTCCAGAAAGTTAACACTTTAAGCCTCTTTCACTCAAAAAGACTTTTAAAAATTAACACTACTATCTTTAACATATACAGGTTATATAAAATTAACCTGAATTCACTAAATTTTAATCTTTTTAGGTAGAACATAATCACCTAGTTAGTATAAATGATTTAGTAGATTACTTGTCAAAATGACATTTTAAAATAATAAAAAGTTGCTTTTTACCAAAAACAAAGCCCAGTAAATTGTAACACAAAAATTAGAATTTTCACAGATTTTGATACCTTATAGGCAAATAATAGATTCTCTCTTGTTAAAAAACATTTGCACTTGCCTAGTTTGTAAGGTTGGCAAATTTAAGGACTTGTGACTTCCAGTTGCCATTATGGATTTAGAAATTTCCCTGTGAGTGCTGGGAAGCTAGTACAGTGGATGGAGATAGTACTTCAATGACTAGTTGCATTTCCTTGTTAAGCCAAAGGAGTTCATATGCAGACCATGTAAATGAGGAGGGTCCTGAGAAAATTCCTAACATTTTCTTTCCATTGCTATACATTAAGTTACTAGCACTACACATAACATAGAATTTATAGATTTAGGGTTTTTTTTTGAGATTAGTGCTAAATATAAAAACAAAGATTTTTCCAGGGAAGAGTCTAGAATCAGCTGGGAGGAATGGGACTCTTCCTTTTGTACTCCTTTTCTCTTTATACAAGTACCCCACATTTATAACATTCCATGCTGTCTCTTCAGATTTGGAAAGGGTTTGATTTCTATCTTAGCTATCTTACGGAGAGAACTGAAACTTTTTGATGAAGGTGCTATTAATCTAGAAAGGCAAACCTATTTTAATAACGCACGAATGAGTATATATGTTTAGGCTCTTTTTTAGAACAGTGCCTATGCCATCTTCCATACTCACAGATGGAGTTTTAATGTTTGGTTGTTAACCGAATTCTAATAGCCCATCACAACACAACTCCTTTTTTTTCTAGGAAAAAAAAACAAGTACTATCCCAAATGTTAATAGATTTTTTTTTTCTCCCTCGAGCCATTGAGGAAAGAAGTCGCTCTCTTCTTTCCTACTTTATTCCTTTTCCCTTCTTACATCCTCCTCCTTTCCTCTTGGCTCTATATACATATCATAGGACAGTAAAAGTAGCAGCTTATAGTCTTGGGAATAATCGAAGAACATCTTATTTCTTACAAGAACAGAAAACTGCTGTTTAGAAAAAGTCCAGGTGGGGTTGTAGTTCCAGTGGTAGAATGCTTATCTAGCTAGCCAGAGGCCCTGAGTTCAAACCCAGTATACCAAAAAACTAAGCAGCAAGAAAAAAAAAATACTTAGAGGCCTACTTTATTGAATAGCCATACTTGAATTTTCTACCACAGCCTCTTGTAATCTTGAACTCTCATTAGCTTCACAGAGAAGCTGTATTTACAGCTTTTAGTTAGTAAGTAGCTTTAAGAAACTAGTTACTAGTAAGAACAAATTTTATCAATATACATCTATGTATGTTTATTCATATACTCATACATATGCGTATTTGTACACACATACACCCACATTACCATATAGAAAGAAAATAGATGTATATGGAAGATGGTTTGCATCTTTTAAAATGATTTGAATTTTCATCCCTCCTCTGACTTCACAGCACCCCTGCCCTCTGTCTGGAGATAAGAAGGACTTAGATATCCAGGGCTGGTGCAGACTCAGCCATGAGGCACTTTTCACTTAAATATCCAAAGAGGCCTTTTGAATTTCAAAGATTGCAATGCCATTAAAGCACTTAGTGTATAGTCTAAGGAAAGTATGGGGCTGTGAAAGTGGCTTAGTGGTAGAATGCTTGCCTAGCATCCATGAAGCTCTGGGTTTGCTTCCTCAGTACCACATAAACAAAACCCCGGAAGTGGCACTGTGGCTCCAGTGGTAGAGTGCTAGCCTTGAGCAAAAGAAGCTCAGGGACAGTGCCCAGGCCCTGAGTTCAAGCCCCAGGACTGGCAAAAAAAGTATGGCTGTCAGTCATGGAAATAGAAATGTTATTTTCCTAGTTTAGGATGAGCATTTTAGGAAGTTAAATTTGATGCCTTGTGAACAAATAGTTTTATATTGTGCTTTAATTTTTTTAAAAAATATTCTTTATTCAAAATACAGAGTGCTGAAAATAATACCATGAATGTTTCCAAAAATTGAGGTGTGCATATCTTTTCTGGACACAGCTTAAAATCAAAAATGTATAAGAAAGGATTTTTTTCCATTACTTTAAAATAATTTTTCTTAATATTTATTTTACTCTATTTTGTTACTTTCTTTGGGTGAGACATCTGGTTACTGGTTATTAAAATATAAAAAAGATATTCTTGGTATTAATCCTTTTGTTTTTTCTATATATTTTAAAACTTATTTCTTTACCAAATATGAAAATATAGATTCATGCCAAATTACCCACTTTTACTTTTAAAGTCCCTCTCTGTGGTCTGCGAAACAAGATAAAGCACAAAGCATGATTTTTTTTTTTTTAATGTGTGTGTGCCAGTACTGGGGCTTGAACTGAGGCCAAGGCACTCTAATTTTTTTTTTCCTCAAGGCTGATGCTGCACCACTTGAGCTACAGCTCCACTTGGGCTTTTTGCTGGTTAACTGGAGAGAAGAGTCTCATGAACTTTTTTGCCTCGTCTGGCTTTGAACTGTAATCTTCAGATCATAGCTACCTCAGTAGCTAGGATTACAGGCATGAGCCACCAGCACCCAGCCAAAGCATGAATTCTTGTCTTTAAATCAAAATATCTTTATTGATGGCATGAATAAGAAATGCCTCTTGTAGCTAAAAACCAGGTGTCTCAACCTTATATTTTTAGTTAGAAAATATTTAGTGAAATATTAAGACATTGATTGTTTGGTACCCAAAATAGCAGTGGGCAACATTGTGCAATGTTCATCCGCAGTCAAGATAGTTTGTTTTCTCTAAGCATGTCATTGATCATACTTCTGCCAAGGATGTGCCTTCAACTTTATAATTACAGTGTTGTAAAAAAAAAATGCCTTGTTCACATCTCTTTTGTTAAATTGTCTGATTCCTATCTAACCCTCGGTTGCAGACTACCCTTATGTCTTTAGGTTTTTCTTCAATTGTGAATGTGAGCTATGGCAGGACTGGTAGCTGCCCCCACATCTGGTAAGGTTGGGAAGGAAGAAACTTATTCCTTCACACTCAACTCAACCTGCCATATCATTTAGTGAGGAACAAAGGAAGGAATATAACCTCTTCTTGATGTGTAGCATCTAACATATTTTCTTTTTGGTGCTAATACTGGGATTTGAACTCAGGACCTGCATGACATCCCTAAGCTTTTGTGCTCAAGGCTAGCACTCTACCACTTGAACCACAGCTCCACTTCTGCCTTTTTTGGTAATTAATTAGAAATGAGATTCTCACAGATATTTTTCCCTGTGCTGGTTTTGAACTGTAATCCTCAGAGCTCAGCATCCTGAGTAGCTAGGATTAGAGATATGAGCCACTGGTGTGTCTGGCTCTAATACATTCTTAATATGTCTGTCCCAAGTAAGCTTGACAGATGACCCAAGCCCTTCTTGCTTTGGGGAGCCCTATTACAGTTTGAAGCTCCCAGCCAACATACATTCCCATGTACAAAATAATTTGAATTAAAGGGTTTTAAGCTCATTTATGAAGAAAAACTAAGCTCCCTTTCCATCCATATCCATGAAGTTGTGCAGAATGGTAAGGTAGGAGTTCCTTGAGGCCAGCTCTCTCTTTTCTTGGTGGCCTGACTGACACGGAAGGGGCGTGGTGACAGCACTATCAACATCACAGCCAGTGAGGTTTCTAAACCTTCCAGATTAGCTAGCTAACAAAAGCTTTCCTGTCTGGGAGTGCTTTCTAGCTTACAGCCTCGAAGGCCTTAGTAGAATTCAGAGAGCAGAAAAATACTGTTTTTCACAGATTTGTGGAGGATCTGCCTGTGTCCCTTACAGATTTGTGTTCATAAGTGTTCAGCTGGTGAAGATGACTAAGAGACACAGGCAAGGTTCTCAAAGATGAGGTTTAAAATGAGGTTAGTGCTGGGTGCTGATAGGTCACACCTGAGATCTGATAATCTCAGGCTGAGATCTGATGATCCAGGTTTGAAACCAGCCCTGGCAGGAAAGTCCATGAGACTCTTATTTTCAATTAACCGCCAAAAACTAAAAAATGGATCTGTGGCCCAAGTTGTAGAGCAGTAACCTTGAACTAAAAAGCTAAGGGATAGCACCAGGGCCCTGAGATCAAGCCCCAGGAACAACACACAATAAAGTGACCTTGCTAATAGGAAGAATGTCAAGGAATTTAATTATACAGGTACAGAGGAGTTACAGTTACATAAGCCAGGTTAAAAATACATTTTTTTTACTTCTTATTTTTGTTGGTTGTGGGGCCTGAACTCTGGGCCTGGGCCCTGTCCCTCAGCTCTTCAGCTGAAGACTAGCGCTCTACCTCTAGAGCTACAGCGCCACTTCTGGCTTTTTTTTTCCTGCTTATGTGGTGCTGAGGAATCGAACCCAGAGCCTCATGCATGCAAGGCAAGCACTCTACCACTGAGCCACCTTCCCAGCCTAAAAATACATTTTTTGGACAGTGTCATCTCTTCCCTCACTCCCCATTTTTTCTTCCCATCCATGCCCACAGTTCAAGAGATCTTGAACAGTTCCACAGCTAATTGTCAACCTGGAAGAGCTTGAAATTCAGTAAGTAGTCTGGCATTCTGTGTCCTTTTTTTTTTTTTGTCGGTCGTGGGGCTTGAACTCTGGGCCTGGGCGCTGTCCCTCAGCTCTTCAGCTCAAGGCCAGCACTCTACCACTTGAGCTACAGCGCCACTTCCGGTTTTCTGGTGGTTTATTGGAGATAGGAGTCTCACGGTCTCTCCTGCCCGGGCTGGCTTTGAACCGCGATCCTCAGATCTCAGCCTCCTGAGTAGCTAGGATTACAAGCGTGAGCCACCAGCACCCGGCATGATGCATTCTGTGTCCTTAAGTATTTTATAGCCCTCCTGCCACCCCAGGCCTGCCTAGAAACTGAAGGGCTACAATTCCTTCAAAATTCTCAAAAGTTCAGTTTTCCCAGGTGCTGTTTCCCATGTCTATAATCCTAGCTACTCAAGAAGCTGAGATCTGACAATCACAATTCAAAGCCAGCCCAGTCAAGACTCATCTCCAATTAACTACCAAAAAGCTGGAAGCAGAACTGTGGCTCAAGTGGTAGATTGTTAGCCGTAAGCACAAAAGCTCAGGAATAGCACCCAGGCCTTGAGTTCAAGCCCCGCCCCTACCCCCAAAAAAGTCCAATTTTGTCACTATGATGATTTTCACCAAATATAAAAGAAAAGTAAGATTAACTCAGGTTCTCCTTATATGCCAGTGGCCTTTAGAACTTGCCATATTTTACATAATTTGAAAAAGAATGCTTTTTGCCCAAATGACTAGTGAAATTAAAAAAACAACTACCAGACAGCTAGGCGCTGGTGGCTCATACCTATAATCCTAAATCCTCAGGAGGCTGAGATCTGAAGATTGAGGTTCAAAACCATCATGGGCAGGAAAAGTCTGTGAAACTCTTTCTACTAAACTACCAAAAAGCCAGAAGCCAGAACTCAAGGCCTTGGCACTATCCCCAAGCCTCCTAGTGCTCAAAGCTAGTGCTCTACCACTTGAACCACAGTGCCACTTCTAGCTTTTTCTGAATAGTTTATTAAAGGTGAGTCTTACAGACTTTCCTGCCTGGGCTGGCTTTGAACCATGATCCTTAGATCTCAGCCTCCTGAGTAGCTAGGATTACAGGCATGAGCCACCAGTGCTCGGCCTTCTTTCCCTCCCTCTCTCCCTCTCTCCCTCCCTCCCTCCCTCCCTCCCTCCCTCCCTCCTTTCTTTCTTTCTTTCTTTCTTTCTTTCTTTCTTTCTTTCTTTCTTTCTTTCTTTCTTTCTTTTTCTTTCTTTCTTTCTGTCTCTCTCTCTCTCTCTCTTTCTTTCTTTCTTTCTTTTCTTTCGTCCTAGGCTTGAACTCAAGGACTGGATGCTGTCTCTAAGCATTTTCAGCTAGAGGCCAGTGCTCTACCACTGGAGCCACAACTCCACTTTAGACTTTTTGGTGGAGTTAAGACTCACAAACTTTATTGCCTGGGATGTCTTTGAACCGCAATCCTCAAATCTCAGCCTCCTGAGTAGCTAGGATTACAGGCAGGAGCCACCAGCTCCTGGCTTCATAATTTCCCATAGTAATGAAAGGGTATGATTTTGGAGTTCACCCCATCTCTGCAAAATACCAGTTCTGCCATTTATTAATTGTGCAGGTAACTGTCATATTGCTGAGGGAACAAATTACAACAAACTTTGGGAGTTAAAACTACTCTACTGGGCTGGGAAGGTGGCTCAGTGGTAGAGTTCTTGCTTTGCATGCATGAGGCCCTGGGTTCGATTCCTCAGTACCACATAAGCAAAAAAAAAAGCCAGAAGTGGAGCTGTGGCTCAAGTGGTAGAGTGCTAGCCTTGAGCTGAAGAGCTGAGGGACAGTGCCCAGGCCCAGAGTTCAGGCACCACGACCGGACACCCCCCCAAAATACTCTATTTCAGGCTGGTACTGGTGGCTCACACCTATAAATGTAGCTACTCAAGAGGCTGAGATCTGAGGATTGAAGTTCAAAGCCAGCCTAGGTAGGAAAGTTGGTGAGACTGTTATCTCCAATTAACTACCAGAAAACTGGAAATGATGCTGTGGCTCAAAGTGGTAGAGTGCTAGCCTTAAGCAAAAAAGCTCAAGGATAGTGCCTAGGCCCTGAGTTCAAGCCCCACAACATCCCCCCCAACTGTTTCTTACTGTGAAGGTTAAAGGTCTGAAATGGGTGTCAGAAATAAAACCATAGTGTTAGCAGAGCTGGGATCCTACCAACGGGTCTAAGGGAGTTTCTAGTTCCTTGATGGATTGGCTTCTACACCATTCCTTGGCTCATGAATCTGTCGTGAAATTACTCCAACTTCTTATGCCATCGTCACATTTTCTACTATTACCTCACACTTATTACCTTCTGTTTTTACTGACCTGTAGGATTACATTGAATTTACTCAGATAATTTGAGGTAACTTTCCCACATCCATATCTATGACATAATCAAACCTCCAAAGTCTCCTTAGAGCAAAAAAGCTCAGGGACAGTGCCTAGGCCCTGAGTTCAAGCACCACAACTGATGGAGGGAGGAGGGGAGACAAACAAAACTTTTATTATCACCTGTAGAGGGCAGAGAGTTCTATTAATCTCTTGTATGACAAACATCACGTTTGTTGATAATTTTTTTGTTTTTATTAGCGAATATAAAGTATACAAAGAGGTTTCATTGTGATTTTTCCTCTCTCTATTTCTCTTCTTTCTTCCCCTTCTTTTCTTTCTTTTTCTCTTTCCTTTCTCTTTTTTCTTTCTCTCCTTTCCTTCCCTTCCCTTTCTCTTCTTGCCTTTCTTTCTTTCTTTTTCTTTCTTTCTTCTTTCTCTCTCTCTCTTTCTCTCTTTCTTTCCTTAATACTAAGGATGGAACCCAGTATCTCATAACATGATAAGCCAGTGTACTACTATCAGTCTACATCCTCAACTCTCCCAATATATTTCCATATATATAAATGTGCTTTGATCCAATACACTGCTTTATTCTTTTTGGGGGGTGGGGGGTCCAGTCGTGGGGCCTGAACTCTGGGCCTGGGCCCTGTCCCTCAGCTCTTCAGCTCAAGGCTAGCGCTCTACCACTTGAGCCACAGCGCCACTTCCGGCTTTTTTCTTTTTGCTTATATGGTGCTGAGAAATCGAACCCAGGGCCTCAGGTATGCAAGGCAAGCGCTCTACCACTGAGCCACCTTCCCAGCCCCACTGCTTTATTCTTCATTCTTATTTCTTATCTCCTTTAGAAGATTTTATTGTTATTTTAAAGGTGAAGTACAGAGGGGTTACAGTTACATAGTCAGATAAAGAGTACTTTTCTTTTGGGACAATCCCCTTCCCTCACTTTCCTCCAATTTTTCCTTCACATCGCCACGCACAACTTGTACAGTTCATTTTCAACATAGTGTCTAGAGAGTACTAACTTTTTTTGTTCACCTTTTGTTCCTACATTTCTGTGCCTCCCCTAACCCTCCCAACAACAGATAATTGAGGGAAAAAAAGACAAAAAGAAAAGAAAAAAAAACAGCAAAAAAGAAAAAAAACTCTTCTCCTTTTGCAAACAGATTTTAGCAGGCGCCCTGTCCTTCCTTCCTTCCTTCCTCCATCCCTCCCTTCCTTCCTTCCTTCCTTCCTTCCTTCCTTCCTTCCTTCCTTCCTCCAGTCTTGGGGCTTGAACTCAGGGCCTGGGCACTGTCCCCAAGCTTCTTTTGCTCAAGGCTAGCACTCTACCACTTAAGCCACAGCACCACTTCTGGGTTTTTTTTGTTTTTGTTTTTCTGTGTATGTGGTACTAAGGAATTGAACCCAGGGCTTCATGCATGCTAGGCAAGCATTCTACCACTAAGCCACATTCCCAGTCAGAGATTTGCTTTTATGGGTTTTAGTTTTAGCACATTTTATTTGTCTCTGCAGTGTTCTTTTTGTTTGTTTTACTTTTAGAATTACTTTACTATAAGTACTACAGAAATAAAAACACAGAAGGATAACTAGAGACTAAAATGAAAGCAAACCTTTCACTCTTAATCTTCTTTTTATCATTGACCAGCCTGCCTCATTTGTATTTTGCTATTTTACAACTGACTTATCCAAGTCTACCTAGGTATGACAGCTCCTAAATGCTATAGTCAAGTTTCACCTTATATCACAATGAATAAAGGGAGCAGAGGTTAGATACACATTTTCTATCCAATTCATAAAAATAGAAATTTTTGAAAAACTATCAACTAAAGTTTATCTACAATGTGCATTTTAACCAAAATTAGGTAAACAGGGGGACTGACTTAGCTATTAATGGGGGGGAGGGGGAGGAAGAGGCAAATGATGAGCTTGGCTGGTATGCTTCCGAGGTCTCAGAACTCAGGAAGAGTGATGTGGTTTGAGATAGGGTGGTAATCTCGTGAAAAAAAAAAAAAAGATCTGGTGAAGCTTTTTGGCTTCTACAACTGCAAAAGAGATCACCTTCCAGCTCCAGACAAAGACTGTACATAGCTACAGGTCACTCGTCCTCTGGCCTTGTCTCTTTGACTGCCTGGGTGGAGCATTTGGGGATGACGGTGACAGGCAAGTAGGCTCAGGGAATGTGGAATCAGGCAAGTCCAAAAATATCTTTGCGTGATTTTCAATTAAGATCTCCACGATGGGGCTGGGAAGGTGGCTCAGCGGTAGAGCGCTTGCCTTGCAAGCATGAGGCCCTGGGTTCCATTCCTCAGCACCACATAAACAGAAAAAGCCAGAAGTGGCGCTGTGGCTCAAGTGGTAGAGCGCTAGCTTTGAGCTAAAGAGCTGAGGGACAGTGTCCAGGCCCAGAGTTCAGGCCCCATGACCAGCAAAAAAAAGATCTCTATGACAATATTCTGAAACTTCAAGTCCATGATGGCTGCAACGCTTTCCTCCTGTGGCCTCATTAGAGTTGGTGCAAACACCACTCCCAAGTTTGCCACTGTCATTAGATTTTGCTTGGAGTGATTTGAAACATTTGTCAAGTGTTTCACCAAAATATGCAACATCTCTTTATTCTTCTCTGGCAGTTTGTGTACCAAGAAATGGATAGCATTTACTCGAGATTCTGGGCTGCCACTTTTGGCTGGAACAATGAAATCTCCATGTAGCTCATAAGTCACGAGAGGCTCTGGAAGACTCCTCAAATACTGCTTCAGGGCACTTGTGATTGTCTTCACTTCCCAATCTATGGAATTCTCCAGGTCCAGCTCATTGCATGTTTTGACATCTGTCAATATACTCAGAAGTGTCTGGACCTTTGAGCTCACCCCCACAACTCTGTATAATCCTTGGTCATTTATACCTCGGGTTCCCACTGCACTGATGCATTTCCTAAGAATCGTGGACCCCATCTTATCCATCTGTGCACTTCCTTCTGGTCTTGGGATTATGACTCTTCAAACCATGGAACAGCGCTTCTTTTCCTCCCAGAGCTTCCAACCACTGCTTCCTTTCCTCTTCTGAAAATGCCTGCTGGGTCAGGGAAATGCCCGGCCGGTCAGCAGCTTCAATGTCAAAACAAAACCTCCTGTCGATGGAGTCCGTATGCCTTCTGGTACATTCCTTCAAGAAGAATACTTCTCTATCCCCAAGTTTCCCCCCAGATCTGTGCTCAAATGGGATCATGTTGAATTTCTTGGCTGCCTTTCGATACATGCAGTAGTGTTTGACCCAACTGGAGCCAAACAGAGCAGGCCTTTTTTCCTGCACATACAGGTAGCCTTCTGCGGTGAACTGACTGGCACGCTTATGGTCTTTGGGATTCTGCCAGATCTTGTTCATCAGTTCTTCCACTTCCGACCTTGTGCCTTGAAACTGGTTCCGTGTCATAAAACAGGACAATGAGTTACCAGGCAGAGTGGCTCACAACCATAATCCCAGCTACTTGGAAGGAAGAGATCAGGAAATCCTCTTTTTTTTGGGGGGGGGGGGGTCTGGTCGTGGGGCCTGAACTCTGGGCCTGGGCGCTGTCCCTCAGCTCTTCAGCACTCTACTGCTTGAGCCACAGCACCACTTCCTGCTTTTTTCTTTTTGCTTATGTGGTGCTAAGGAATTGAACCCAGGGCCTCATGCATGCAAGGCAAGAGCTCTACCACTGAGCCACCTTCCCAGCCCCTCTTTTTTTTAATTGCACCAGTAATGGTGCTTGAACTCAAAGACTGGGCATTCTCCCCTAGCTTTTTTGCTCAAGGCTGGCATTCTAACACTCAAGCTATAGCGCCACTTCTAGCTTTTTGGTAATTAATTGAAGATGAGTCTCACAGACTTTCCTCCCTGTGCTGTGTTTGAGCTGCAACCCTCAGATTTCAGCCTCCTGATATCTAGGATATAGGCGTGAGCCATTGTCACCTAGCAATGCACTGTTCTTTTACACTTAACATAAGTTACACATTTCTCCTCACTTTCTATTCTCATTTTTCCCATTCAGATCAGAGAATTACGTGGGTAAGCAAATTAGTTTAAGATATTATGTACTATGTTTTCTCATTACAATTTATTCTATTCTATATTTCAGATTTTAAAAATATTTCATATTCTTTGGTATGTTTGTGTATGTGGGGGGGGGTTTGCTGGGGCTTAAACTTTGGACTTGACACTCTGAACTTTTGTACTGAAGGCTAGCACTCTATCACTTGAGTCATAGTGCCACTTCTGACTTTTTCTGAGTAGTTTCTTGGAGATAAGAATCTCACAGACTTTCCTTTCCCGGTCTGGCTTTGAACCACAATCCTCAGATTTCAGCCACCTGAGTATTAAAGATTACAGGCATAGGCCATAGGTGCCTGCCTTTGTTATTGTTTTTTTTTTTCACCCTATCTGTGTAACTAGTTCTTTACTGTTCAGATCTTCCTCTCTCTTTTGACATTTGGAAGTGTGCAAAAACAGCCACGTCATTATTTTAACCAATTTCATCCTCAGAATTTCAGGAACAAATTGCTACATAGTTCAGGTTTCTTCTGCCTTATATGAAGACTGGAAATGGATAGAGGCTGGTGGATCTCCTAAGCTAATAACCTATCACTGTCATTTATTCCTTGCTCAACTAATATTTGGTTCCCTCCACAAATATATGTTGAGTACCCACTGTATGTAAGATATAGTTCTGGGGCTGGGAAGGTGGCTCAGTGGTAGAGCGCTTGCCTTGTGTGCCTGAGGCCCTGGTTCGATTCCTCAGCACCACATAAGCAAAAAGAAAAAAGCCGGAAGTGGTGCTGTGGCTCAAGTGGTAGAGCGCTAGCCTTGAGCTGAAGAGCTGAGGGACAGCGCCCAGGCCCAGAGTTCAGGCCCCATGACTGGACCAAAAAAAAAAAAAAAAAAAGATATATTTCTGAATGCTGAGAACTCAGTAGTTAGCAAAATATATCAAGTCCTGACCTCCATGAGCTGAAGGAGATGCCTCCTCCCTACAGGGTAATAGAACATCTTTTTTCCTGGTGCCAGTCCTGGGACTTGAACTCAAGGACTGGGCTCTGTCCCTGAGATTTTTCTCTCAAGGCTTTAGCTCTATCACTTGAGCTACAGTTCCACTTTTAGCTTTTTGGTGGTTAATTGGACGGACATAGGAGTTTCTCGGACTCTCCTGCATGGGTTCGCTTTGAACTTTGATCCTCAAATCTTGGCTTCCCAAGTAGCCATGAAACACTGCTGCCCAGACTGGACTGTTTTAAATAGGTGCACGATAATATCTTATTTTCCCACTTTTAAGAGTGGGGAAATGCTCCCACAAGCTGGATCCATTCTATGTCTTTTTGGTCAGAATTATGCCATGTCTTTTCTTAAACCAATCTCAAGCAGGAGGAAGGAGGAGGGGAGGGCGGAAAGACCTATTCATCATTCAGAGTGCCTGTTCTCTTCTTGATATTTCCCAATGCAAAGGCTATATTATCTTTTTATACCTTCTCCTTATTTACTCATGAAACTTTAAAAAAGGCATTACCTCTTAGAATTCCCTAGCCTTGACCATGTTCTTGAAAGACCATGCACAGACCTGTACTCTGTGTTCTGTAGGGGACAGCTAAAGGACAGGCCACAGGTGTCTCTCCCTGTTTCCACAAGGAGCTATCACAATACTGTAACTAGCCCTTTTACTGACATTTTCCCCTTTTTCCTCTGCAATTTCTCACTAGTGCAGACTGAAAAATGGAATGACCTTGTGTTCAGACCCAGGAGAGGTGGAAAGGAGTTATGCACTAATTTAAGAAAAGTATCTAAGCTAGGTGCTGGTGGCTCTCACCTGTAAATCTAGCAACTCAGGAGGCTGAGATATGGGGATCACAGTTCGAAGCCAGGCACCTTCCCAGCCCACAAGACACTATGTTGAAAATGAACTTTACGGGCTGGGAAGGTGGCTCAGCGGTAGAGTGCTTGCCTTGCATGCAAGAGGCTCTGGGTTCGATTCTTCAGCACCACATAAGCAGAAAAAGCTGGAAGTGGTGCTGTGGCTCAAGTGGTAGAGCACTAGCCTTGAACTGAAGAGCTAAGGGACAGCGCCCAGGTCCAGAGTTCAGGCCCCACAACAGACCACAAAAAACCAAATGTACTCTTTACCTGACTTAGGTAACTATAACCCTTGTGTACATCACCCTTATAATTACAATAAAAAAGTACAACAAACAAACAAACAAAAAAAAAGAAAATGAACTTTACAACTTTATGGGGGAGGAAGAATTGGAGAGGTGCGGAGGGAAGGAATAGTAGGGGAAAAATAAAAGAGGGATAACAATGCTTGATAGGAAATGTACTCATTACAGAATCTTTACGATAAAAAATATAATAAAAACGGGGGCAAGATGGCTAGGGGTTTAGCTCAATGTTAATGCACTTACCTAGCATACATGAAGCCTGAACTTTCTCAGCACTGCAAAATAACCCCCCCCCCACCAAATGAGTGTAAACAAATGTTTATTGTAGCATTGTGTATAGTTCATTGATTTCTAGGCTATGCTCAATTGGAGAGCTGGTCTAATTCTGTAAGTGTATAGATCAGTGTTCTGGTATATTTTCCTCCCAAAATAGCCCTTATTAGCGGAGATGTTTGTTCTACAAATTACATGATGAGTTAGACTGACTTTTACATTGACTTTCCAGATCCTTGCTTGTACATAGTTGGCAGAATCAATCACAGATGGTTTCTGGAAAGAAGTCTGTAAAGAAACGATTTAAAAAAAAATGGGGCTGTTGATGTTAGGGGAATAAACCCTAAGGTAAATATTCAAATGTTTTTTTGTTTTTTTTTCCTTTCATGCAATTGTTTCTAACATATTTATAAGATGATTTCTTTGTTGCTTTGTATGTCCCTCCCCCATGGTATAACCCTGGCTTTCATTGTATTTGATGGTATAATTTGTGGAGGAGAAGGGAAAAAACAAATAATTTAACTAGAGATACAGGTGGACCCATTGCAACAATGAGATGTACAAATCGTTATGTCGAAAAACAACTTTAGGGCTGGGAAGGTGGCTCAGTGGTAGAGTGCTTGCCTTGCATGCCTAAGGCTGGGAAGGTGGCTCAGTGGTAGAGTGCTTGCCTTGCATGCCTAAGGCCCTGGGTTTGATTCCTCAGCACCACATAAGCAAAAAGAAAAAAGCCGGAAGTGGCGTTGTGCTCAAGTGGTAGAGCGCTAGCCTTGAGCTGAAGAGCTGAGGGACAGCGCCCAGGCCCAGAGTTCAGGCCCCACAACCAGACCCAAAAAAAAAAAAGAAAAGAAAAAAAAGAAAAACGAACTTTACAACTTTGGTGTGGGGTGGGGGAGGATCGGGTGGGGGAAAAGGGGGGTGTATGGGAAGGGATGGGAAGGGGAAACAAAGAGGAGGCAACAATGCTTGATAAGAAATGTACTTGTTATCTTGCCCATGTAATTGTAACTCCTCCGTACGGTATTCTCACAATAAAAATAAATAAATAAATAAATAAAATGGGCCTAGGAGTTTGGCTTAGTGGTAGAGTGCTTGCCCTACATGCATGAAACCCTGGGTTCGATTCCTCAGTATCACATACACAGAAAACCTGGAAGTACCACTGTGGTTCAAGTGGTAGAGTGCTAGTCTTGAGCAAAAAGAAGCTCAGGGACAGTGCCCAGGTCCAGAGTTTAAGCCTCAGGATTGGTAATAAATAAATAAATAAATAATAAAAATAAAAAAGGCCTAGCCTCATAGCAACATGGAGTATTCAGAAGAATAAGCAGTTCCCTGGGCGAGAGAAATTTGGGATTCTAATGAGCCACAAAGTAGTCAGGGTAACAGAGCAACCTGCAACAGTTCTGCATCTTCACTGACCTTAGATACTTGTTTAGTCATTCTGTAATTCAGCTGCTGTATCTAAAACCTGGGATAATAATGATAATATTCATTTTTCCTTATCCACGTGAGCACAGAGAAAGCACTCATTACTATGTGTAGCACATGATAAAGGCACTATAATTCTTGCCATTGCTTATTATTATTGTTACAAGAACACTTGAGAGGTGGAGGCAAGAGCAGCAAGAAAGCTCAGGAGCGGCTGCGGCTACATAGGATATGCAAGCCAGAGCGACATAGCAAGACCTTGTCTACAAAAATAGCTGGGTTTGCTGGTGCATACCTGTTATACCAACTATCATGGGAAATATAAATGAGGATCACAAGCTAGCCTGGGCAAAAAAGTAAGGCCCTCTCTAAAAAAATAGCACGAGCAAAAAGAGCTGAAGGTATGGCTCAAGTAGTAAAGTGTCTGTCTAACAAGCACAAGGCCCTGAGTTCAAACCCCAGTAATATACAAAAAGAAAAATAAAGTTCACAAGAATGTGCATTAAGCCAGGTGCCAGTGGCCCATGCCTGTAATCCTAGCATGCC